TGCACGTGGGGGAAGCACTTATAAGCTGTAGCTCAGTCACGGCGATCCTGGAGCATGTGCTTGACAAGAATGTCTGAGATAGAGCTGGGCCTATGACACCGCCAATAATGGCCCTTTATGTTGTCTGCTGGGTGTTAGATGTCCATTATCGCGCTAATTTCTCACAACAGCAGATGGGGGTTAGGTCCAGAGATACCGGTTCACTTGCCTGAAGGCACACCCCAAGTCTTTGTACTGAGTGGAGGGCTCTTCCCAGGCTAAGCAAGGCATCTCGCTGTGGCCCCATCAGGATGGCTGGAATGTGTTTCTACACTTAATGCCCGCAGAGCACCTGTCTGCTAAACACAGCTGCTTGCTCCCCCTCCGCTCGGCTGCTCTTCTGTCGGGGCTGTGCAGTGTCCGTGCTGTCTGTGTGAACACTTTGAGGGGTGACTCAGGCCATGTGGGGTTCCTGGCCGGAGGCCAAAGCAGTGACCTCCTTGGGGTGCGCACCGTGGGTTCTTTCTCTTCTGGTTTTCCCTACCAGCATTTCCTCAGCAAGGGGCCATCACATGTGTCCCTTTCATTACACTGGCGACCTTGTGGAGACGGGGCTTCCCCGAGGACCTGTCTCCCTTCCACCTGGCACATCCATGATTGGACAAAACACCAGAAACCACGAGCGCAGAGCCAGAAGTCTTCAGACCTATAGCTGCCAAGGTGTGGCCGGAATAACTGTGCCAGCCACTTTGTGATAAACTAGAGCCAGCCCAAGCTGCAGTGGCCTCCTGGAGGCAGCCAGGGGGCCCTGTCACAGGAAGGGGGATACTAGGTGACCATTTGGCAGGAATGTATGAGTGTCTAGGACCCTCTGGCCATTGAAGTGTCAGAATTCTGAGCCCACACCCTCTTTGTTGACTGCCCACAGGCCAATGATGTCCTCATCCTCCGGAGCCACGAACCCAATGCCCCGGGGCCTGCAGGTGCTCAGACCTCAGAGAAGCCGAGGGAGGGGCCAGGGAAGTCAAGAAGGGCACTGCCTTTCACAGAGAAGAAGAAGAAACCCGAGGCGTTTAATAAAACCCAAAACCAGGAGAACACTTTCCCTTGTAAAAAATGCGGCAGGTAAGATGTCTCCACGGGGACCTGGACACCATGTGGGGTATAGGTGTGCTGCTGGGATTGGGGCACCGTGGGTCTGGCTTTTGATTGGCTCAGTGGGTTTCCAGGGTAATGACATCACGGGGCAGGCATGGTTTGAAGGGGGGGAAGCACCATTCCAAGTGAGAGGGGGGAAGGTAGGGACTAAATGGACCCGTTAGAGTTTGAGGGAATATTGAGTGAAGGGTGCCACACCCCACCGTGGTGTGGCTTGCTCTCACCTGAGCCCCTCCTGCCCGCTGCAGGGTGTTTTACAAGGTGAAGAGCCGCAGTGCTCACATGAAGAGTCACGCAGAGCAGGAGAAGAAGGCCGCGGCTCTGAGGCTGAAGGAGAAGGAGGCTGCAGCTGCCGCCGCCGCGCACCAGCAGACACTGAGGGAAGAGAGCGGCGAGGGAGAGAAGGGCTGAGATTCTGCTGGACCCTCTCACGGCCTCCCCCTGCACCCTGCACCCGGGAACCCGTAGAGGGAGCCAGGAGAGAGGGTCACGTGGACTTTGCTCTACAAAACAAATCCGATAATGAAAAATAAACAGGCTCTTTTATGTACAGAGGCCGAGGACAGTGTTAAGGGCTGCAGGATCCAGTTCTGAGGATCTGGTCTGTCCAGTGTTCTGCTTCCCTGGAGCCTTGAGAGGCCAGGCCCCTGGGAGGGGGGGAAGGGCTCCACAGCTGCTTCTCAGATCTGCCAGTCTCTTAGCATCTCTGTCTTTCTCATCCCAGGGCCCTAGTAAGCCGATGGCAAGCCAAGCACAAGCTCCCCCCAGGGCAGGCTATTCCTCTTGGACCTGGAAGGCTGTGTAAACCTTGCTCGAAGCCCCAAACCAAGGGACTCCTTAGAGAATGGTGGCCTTATCACAACTGCATCCAGGCCAGAGCTGCTCCAGTGACCTGGCTTCAGGTCACCACCTCCCTAGGAGTATCTCGGAGGGCAGTTTCAACCTCTTTGCTGCTTGTTAACAGCCCGTCTGGGGCTGGGAAAGTTTTCTCACACGGTGTTCGTGTCCCCGCTGTCATCCTGCTACAGGAAAGGCTAGAGGAAGCAGAGTCAGGCTCGAGTGGTCTTGTGACAAGTCTGGTGACTCTTTCTGCTGCCTACCGTTTTATACTTTTGGGTCCCGGGGGCTGCTGAGGGAGCCTCAAGTAGGTCCTGGGCAGGCCTGGCCTGGGTGCCAGCTCCCTTCTTGCTTGTCCCTGCTCTCAGTAGCTGCCACCTGACCCCACTGCACCCCACTCAATGTTGATATTCATAGCCTCCCCCTCTCCTCCCCATCCTGCATGCTGGAGATTTCTGGATCCTTCCCTGGGAGGGGATGTCTCCTAACTAGGTAAGACAGGAGCCTTCATTCCTTGACCTGTGTCATTTGGGAACTATTTATTTATTCTTAATATTTAATTTTTAACATCCTCAGGGACCAGGGGCCTCTTGCTTTCCAGAGGTTCAAGTGCATTTATCCCAAAATAAGGCATCCCCACCCCCACCCCCCAGTTCCAAGGCTCTGTGGTCCCTTAGCTTGTTGCTCTTGCCAGTAGGAATGGTAGTGGTACGGAATGGGCTGGGAAGGTGGGGCGTGTCGTCATAGTCACAGGAAGGGGGCAGATCTCCGGCTTGCCCTTTCTGTACTTTCAAAATGCCTGAGGGAGCTGGCAGGAGGCCAGAATTCTAGTTTTGTTTATCAGCCTGGATTCTGGCTTGAAGAAACCATATTTGGCATGAAATTACTGAAGGGCTGGAATGTTCTGGAGGCCCCTTCGCTTGCCAGTTCCATAGGGGGCCTAAGTTATTTTTCTGATCATTACTTGACTTTGGTTGTGCAGAAGGAAGTCTAAGTGAATGTGAGTCTGAGGAAAGAGCTGAGAAGGGGTCCTCCCCGGTTCTCTAGGAAGTAGCCTCAGCCCTGCTGGAAATTGGAAATAGATGTGTTTTTAAGCTATGCACTATTGGGTGGTATTTTTTGTTTGTTTGTTTTTGTTTTTTTTTTTTTGTTTTTTGGCCTTTTTTTATTCATTTATATATTAGTATGGTTCTATGAGAGCTGCCTATGGAAGTAACACAAATGTCCCCCTAGATACCTGGATGGTTCCACCTAAACCTCCAGCTTCCCTGTTAGCATCTTTCTTTCATAGGTTCCTACAGACTCAAAAGTCTTGAGATTGTGGAAACCTGGTACCCTCTAGAAGCAAGAGGGCAACACATTTAGGCTTTCCTCTAAATCACTTGTATAATGAGTGCCTTCACAGCTTAGCCCCAAAGTGCTACTTATGGTTCCCAAGGTTTTTTTCTATTTAAACCATATTTGGCTCAGGCCCCTTGGGCATGTGATATCAGACATCTTCAGCCACATGAGACCAACCAGTCCTGGAAAATCTTAATAAAAAGTGATTCTACTTTTCTAAGTTCACAGAGACCAGACCAGATGAATATAGCCAGAAAAAAAAAAAATCAAGATGCTACCTTTTGGTGGCGATCTCTTGAGACACTTTAAGGAGAGCCCATGCTCCGGGATGCAGTGTGCAACCTGCACTGTTTCGAGGGCAGATGCACTGTGGCAAGAAGCCACAGAGGCTGGCGCAGGCCTATCCTTACTGGTGCTTTTCCAGATGAACACACTGGGCTTGGTTTTTGTTGTTCTTCCTTCCTATTCGGAGCTTTTTGCTTTAAGAATAAGTAACGACTTCAGCTTGCCATCAGCCTGCCTAGACCATCTCACCTTATCTGTCTCTCAGCTCCACCTGCATTCAGCGAAGGGTATGAAACTGACGTAGTGCCTGCGGTCTGGACCGTTAACTCCTGTCCTCCACGCCTTCAGCAGCCCCCCCTTCCCCAGCTAAGGTACCTACCCTCTTGCCCCCACCTCCGACCCTGGCACAGAGGTCCTGTGCTGCTCGTGTCTAAAGGGATTGCCTATATTTAACTGCCTCAGTGACCTGACCTCTCTTCTCACGTGCCGGTTGTTAAAGATGTTCAAGCCTCAGCTGTTGAAATGTTTTTATTGGGCCTCTCTTTTCTGGTTTATTTATTACTAGCCTGGCAAAGCCTAACTCCTTAGGTTTTCACGGGAAGTATGCATATTTTTATAAAACAGTTGTGTCTAACCCACATTTGGCTGTGTTTTGTTGCCTCAAAAAAAAAAATTGCAGCTGTTGGAACTTTTCCTCATTTGTCTCTTAAGTCAAAGGCCTTGTTGGAGAGGACAGAGCCCAGGACAGCCTTGATAGACTGTAATTACTGTACAAATATTTTAATAGCATAAAATAAGTATATTTCTTTTATTTTGAAACAAAATGATCAGACACTGCCTTTCGTGTGTTTGTTGCCTGTGGCACTCTTTTTAAAAAAGACTGTTACATATTAAATAGTGTACATATATATAAATATTACCTCTTTTGCTGTACAGTTGTGATAGACCAGACTGAAAATTTTATTTTTTGTGTGCTTTTTATAAAAAAATTAATACACTAAAGAGAATCTTGCTGATGTGATTGTAATGTACCTATGTAACTTATTTACTTTTGAATGTTCTGTATCTTAAGACCTTTTATTAAATAAGGTTTTAAAAAATTCATTGTTGAATGCTATATTCTTATGGGGTGTTTTTACCAGTTGGGATTGACAAGGGAATTTACCCCACTGTTTCTGGGGCTTAAGCAATTTTGTTTTGTTATCATATATACTCAGGCCAGGGAAAGAAAATGTTTGCAGTTTGCCTGGCTACAAAAAAGTAGTAACAGGGTTTTGGTTTTTTTATATACAAAATTTAGACAAGAATGCATAGTCAGTTTCTCACAGGAGCCTATAGATGGCATTCTCCCTCCTGCTTTCATGGGGAAGAGCAGAGCCTCGGCAGAGTGTGATCGAATGGTCCACAGAAGTCAGAGCGCTGCAGGTCTCCATGGGCACAGACGGGATGAGCATCTTGAAACAAGTCCGTCATGGTGGATACATATCAATAACGCCAACTTAAATTCACAGCAAGATTAGATTTAAACACAACAACAAAAATATGCTTACTCTGTCTCGGAAAAAAAAAACAAAACAAAAAGATGCTTAACAATATTTATTGTTAAGAAAGAATCTAGGAAATACAGGGGGCGGGGGAAGAAATGCGCCATCACAGAATAGACGCCTCAAACCCCTCGGTACCATAGCAACCGCCAGATCCTCTGGAGCCCGCGCATGGACACGGTTGCCACGGCGACACTGGCGCGCAGGCCGGTCCCGCCCTGCACTGCAGCTGCGCGGCGGCCGTTGCGGGAGCGCGCTGCTGTAGAAGCTGAGCAGAGCTGTGTCCAGCCGGCCTTCCGGCTTCCGCGCCTCCTGCGGCCTCGGTCCCAGATATTCCCAAGCCGCTGCAGCCGCCGAACCTGAGTACCGCCTCTCCCCGCGGCTTCCAAATCACCCCCTCGGGAGACCCTATGCCGGTGCCTACCACCGGCCGGCCCGGGAGCGGCGGGAGGAGCTGCCACGCCCCGCGACCGCACCCAGCCGTCTACCGCCCGGAGCCCACCGGAAGCCTTCCGCCTTCCACCAGCCTTGTTTCTCTCCTCCACGCGGTGACGCCACGCTCAGCTGCAGCCAGCCCACGCCTGCTCGGACCAAAGAGGGCGACATTCACGTGACAGGCGGAGCGACCCCCGAAGCTGGCAGCGCTCATTTTGGGATCCAGAAGGGACAAGACGGGACTCTGGTGTCATTTGGTAATCGTGGTTGCTTGAAGCTTGTCGCCTCCAGGCCTACCCGGGGGAGGGAGGCATGTTATGTTGTATTGTTCTAGGTCCTATAGCACCGTGAGCAGGTCCAAGCGGTGTTTGTAGAACTGGCACCTTTAGTAGAAATGGCTATGGCACTATTGGAAGACTGGTGCAGGGGAATGGACGTGAACGCACAGCGAGCTCTGCTGGTCTGGGGGATCCCTGTGAACTGCGATGAGGCTGAAATCGAAGAGACCCTCCACGCTGCGATGCCCCAGGTGCCCTATCGAGTACTGGGGAGAATGTTCTGGAGGGAAGAAAATGCGAAAGCAGCCTTGTTAGAGCTCACCGGGGCAGTGGATTACTCCCTGATCCCTAGAGAGCTGCCAGGGAAAGGGGGGCTCTGGAAAGTGCTCTTTAAGCCCCCCACTTCCGATGCTGAGTTTTTGGAAAGGTTGCGCCTCTTCCTAGCTAGGGAAGGGTGGACTGTGCAAGATGTTGCTCGTGTGCTTGGGTTTCAGAACCCTGATCCCGATCCAGGCCCAGAAATGCCAGCAGAGATGCTCAACTATATTTTGGATAATGTTATTCAACCTCTTGTTGAGTCCGTATGGTATAAGAAGCTGACGCTGTTCTCTGGGAGGGACATTCCCGGGCCTGGCGAGGAGACCTTTGATGCCTGGCTGGAGCACTCTAAGGAGGTCATAGAGGAATGGCCGGTGTCTGATATGGAAAAGAGACGGCGGTTGATGGAGAGTTTGCGAGGCCCTGCTGCTGACGTCATTCGCATCCTCAAGACCAACAACCCTGCCATCACCACCGAAGAATGCCTGAAGGCTCTGGAGCAGGTATTTGGGAGCGTGGAGACCTCTAGAGCTACACAGGTCAGATTTCTGAACACTTACCAGAACCCAGGAGAAAAGTTGTCGTCTTACGTCCTTCGCCTGGAGCCTCTGCTGCAGAAGGTAGTGGAAAAGGGGGCCATTGATAAAGATAACGTGAACCAGGCTCGCCTGGAGCAGGTCATCGCTGGGGCCAACCACAGTGGGGCCATCCGAAGGCAGTTGTGGCTGACCAGGGCTGGCAACCGACCGGCACCCAACCTCTACCAGTTGCTGGTGCAGATTCGAGAGGAGGAAGCCAAAGAGGAGGAGGAGGAGGCTGAGGCGGCCCTCTTGCAGCTAGGCCTGGAGGGGCATTTCTGAGTCCCTGGATTGGCCTGGCTGCTTTTGTTATCCCTGTGCGGTTTTACAAGCTTGCCTCCCATAGTATAGACCTAAGCTCCTGTTTTTGTTTTGTTTTCTGAGGGATGGGCCAGGGGAGTCGGACCTGCATATTCGCCTCACAGTCACAGAACTGTGTGATTGGCAGGAGCTGTAACTAATGCTAGAGGTGGGTCAGATGCTTGACGGGAGCCCTCCTGGTGACAGCTTTGACGCTGTGAAAAAATTGAAGCTGCGACACTTCCTGTCAAGATGCTTGGGAAATTGCAAGTTCAGACGCTTAGTGCAAGCCTGCCTCACAGGCTATAGGACACAAACTGTTCTATTTGTTACTAATATTGTGGATAGTTTTGCTGTACATTGTCCCTAATTTATATAGCTGGAAGGAATGTGAGCCTACTGGATGATACTACTCATCTTGAAAATTCACATTTCTAATTTCTCTCGGCTCAGCGTCAGAATCAGTTTTCCTGCTCAGTGTTCTAGGACTGAAAATGGCGTGTTGGAAAAATGCGCTTTTATGGAGCCACACAGTCAACTTTTCGTGGTGTAAAATAGCGACAGAGGTCATAGGGGGAAGCTCCATAAACAAGCTATGTTCCCCCCACTTGAAATAGTTGTCATTTAGTTATTGGTCATGTTGACGCTAAGTGTTTTAAATTTGAAGTTTAAATAGATGTATACAAATAAAAATTTGAAAATTCTCATATTGTTTTTCCTGACATGTATAAAAATTTTCAGTGTAATTCAGCTCTGTACATTTTTCTATTACAAAGATTTTTGCTCATGTCAAAAAAAAATGTAACCCCCTTCCTATGAGCTTAAATTGCAACATTGTCTGCATATTCTTGTGTTGCTGGTTCCTTGGTTGTTTTCTTTTTCACAGCCCCACTGTGTAGCTGGAACTGGCTTAGAATTCACTCTGTAGCCCAGGCTGGCCTCAAACTTGTAACAGCCTCCTGCACCCCCCCCCCTCCCCGCTTCTCCCCCACCAGCAGTGCCATGGTCACAGGTATGAGGACCACACCCAACTATTTCCTTTAGATAGAGGCTCACTTTATCTAGACTAGCACAGGCTAGTCTTGAACTTGTGGTCTCCCTGCCTCCTCCCGGGGCCATCACATCCAGCCTTTGCAGTACCTTTTAGGGGGCTCAGTTTCACATGACTTCCTCAAGGCATGTGATGATGGTTGAAGAGGTGAAAATATATTTCTATGAAATTTGACAGAAATTTGAAATGGGGCTTAGGTTTCTAGCAGCCTTTTACACATTGTGACTTAATGTTAAGGCTTTGTTTCAATAAAGAAGTACGGCAAAGTCACGCATGTGCAACGTGAGGGTTTGCTTCACTGCGGTCATTGTATGCCAGGATGAGTAAAGGGAATGACCGGCTTAAAACCATCTTTACTTGACTCTAGAGATCCCGAGCGGCATAAATCTGGAAGTGCGGCCACACTTTCTCTTAGGGTTTAGGAGTGGAGCTGGTGTAACACTGTAAACCACATGACTGTCCCTGAGGCTCTGCTGGGATAACTCAAGCAGAGAATGGGGATTTAAAAAAATACAGTGTATGTATGTATGTGGCTGTGCATGCCAGGGTATGCATGTGGAGGTCCATTATCCCCTACCATGTGGGTCCTCAACATAAGATTCTATTAAACTTTATACGTGCACACACATTGCTACCATGTGGGTCCCTCAACATAAGATTCTATTAAACTTTAAATGTGCACACACGTTGCTACCACGTGCTAACCAACCACACTCCCAACTCCTATACTTATACATTCTTAAAAACAAACATGGATTTTGCATACCTCGTGTTGTCAGCGTCCTTGGGTTCACATAGGGACAGAGTACATATTTTGTGGGTGGACACTTAGATGTGGAGGACGTAGGACAACATGCAGGAGTCAGTTCCCTCCACCATGTAGATCTGAGGGATCAAACTCAGGTTGGCAGCCTTGGTGGTAAAGGCTGTGTCCTCCCACCAGCCCACCTCATCCTGCCAATGGAACCTCAATCAATGGTCGCTACATCGTTTTGTTCAGCAGCAAGGACTGAATCTAAGGTCTCGTGTGCTGGTCAAGCACTCTACGCTGCGCCACAGCCCCATCCATTTATTATAAAAATAGTTTTACATTGTATAGAGGAAGCAAGCTGTCCTACAACTTGCTCTATAGCTGAGGCTGACTTTGAACTTAGAATCTCCTGCCTCGTCCTTTTCAGTGCTGGGATCATAGGCTTGTTCCACCATGCTTAGCCTATACTTTCTTTTCATAGCTGTAGAACTGATTACATCCTATGAGGAAAGGTAGTTTTACTATGTGACCATATATAACATCTGTGCATGCCCACATGAGCATACATCCACGGTTAGTACAACATATAAAGCAATGTTAGGACCACAGATGCTCATCTCACCCCCGCCCCCCCCCCAGTCTTTCTGAGCTGAGCTTTGTCTGTGGCATAGGCTATCCTTGAATTCCTGCCTCAGTCACCACACCATTGAGCTAGGAAAAAATCAGTGAATTCAAAGTAGCCATGACCTGATTTGAGGTTTTCTCATTATAAGTTCAGGAATTTTTAAATTCTGCTTTTTTCAGAAAGGTATATTCAAAGAACTGTGGAATAGTAGAAACTGCATGGAAGTTCTATTCTGTAACAAAATTATGTTTTGGCTGATGGCACAGATTATATCCTGGCGAAGTGTATGATGCCCCCGATACTGCTGGCTTTCCCCGATTCTTAGGGGCCTCTCGGCTCTCCTCTAGGGATGGCCAAGTGCAGGAGGAACTGCCGTTCCTGGAAGCACTCTTCAGTGGACATGTATTGTGGAGAGTTAAAGTCGGGAAAGAAGGAAAGAATGTGTTTACTGGTAGGAAGTGAGAAAGCAAATTAGCTCAGCCGGGTGCTGCACACCTTTAATCCTAACACTTGGTAGGTAGGCAGACCTGAGTTTGAGATCAGCCTGGTCTATATAGTGAGTATACATTATTCTAAGACACAGGACTACTGCACACAGATCTTGTTTCAAAAAACAAACAAAAACGAGTTAAATGTCTCCTCACCCCACCCCATTGCTTTCTCTCTCCCTTTTCTTTCCTCCCCCACCATCTCTCTCTCCTCCCTGCCCCTGTCACATGTTAATCAGATATCATGGGAGTCACTCTGTTAACTCAAACACAATAACTAAAGGACTTTTTTTTTATAAAATAACATGATTTATTACTATTTTAAAACAAGTTTCACAAAATAACATTCAGAAACTCAATATTACTAAATAATTTAACACACAAAGTTTAGTCATAAAGTCATGCTACAAAAGTCCTGTGTAGAAAAGACTATTACCAAAGCAGTACAGATATTCAAATCTTCAGAATGAACATGGTTCTGGAATGATGCTCCTGGCCATTACGGGCACCTGGGAGAAGCAGCTGGACTGTGTGTTGTCTTCTGCTCTCCGCTCACCGGCCTTTGACAGGAGTGGTCCCACTGGGCGGCAGCATCGCAATGCTCTCTTCCCACAGGGTCTCCCAGTGATCCAGAAGCTAAACTCCTACCCATGTAATGTAGTCAACACCAACATGAATTTTTAAAATCTAGATAGGGGCTGGGCATGGTGGCACAAGCCTTTAACTCCAGCACTGGCAGAGGCAGGCAGATATGAGTTCAAGGGCAGCCTGGTCCTCAGAGTGAGTTCCAGGACAGCCAGGGAAACTCTGCCTCGAAAAACCAAAAGAAAAAAGAAACTTAGATATGGAAAGGAAATACCCACAGTTTCTATTCTGAATAGGAATGCTATTTTGCACCTCCCAGAGGGATGACCTTGGACCTGAAGACAGACAGCAATATCAGCAGAGAGGCAAGGAAGGGCTGGAGTCTCTGAGTCTGGCCCACCTGTGTGCAGCTGGCTCGCACCCACCTCCCCTCTGGAAGTAGTTTCACCATCAGCCACACTCACAATTTTAAAGTGCAAATCTACTAGAAAAATAGTTTATTTTCTCTACCTCCTTGCTAAATTTGTTAGATCATAATTTGGTTGTCTCTCTAATCTGCCCAATATGGGAAATTAATGAGAATATGATTACAATTTCTCCACATATCAAGTGAACCAACTTATATCAGGCTAGAAGTCTAGTTTTTCCTTTCGGTTTCCTTTCTTATTACTCATGATGAATAAAGGCAGGGATAGATACATAAACACGGAATTCTAAAAGTTTAGCATTTCTCAATGTAACCTTCGGTTTTAAAATTTCCCCTTTTCTACTTTCATGGGATGGGTGAGTAAGCCACACTAGGTATAGATAAAGGAACATGGACAAGTCAGCTGTTGCAAACAGCTCCGACCCAGCTCCTTACTCTCAGACCATCAGCTCACACAGAGAGAGTGTGTCCGAGGCCGACTGTGGGGAAGGCTTGCAATCTGGTTTTCTTCCTTTACCACAGCTTCACTGCTCACAGCCTCTGTGAACTACAAGTTCAGCCAGAGACCATGGCTCCTCACGACACTTCCCCCCCCCCCCCTTTTCAAAGTGAATGATGAAATCCAAACTTTCTGGGCTTTTTCATGCTAACCTTAAGGAAAACTTGGGCAAAAGATTCCAATCCTGTTTTCCACGTCCCCAGTTCTCAGCCAATGACAGATTTAGGTCTTATTGTTCCTTATTTTGCTTTCAGACCACTGGCAAAGGTATCAGAAGAAACCCCTACAACACCTATTTCCACTGCAGAGCTAGGGCTGCACGCAGGGCAGCTCCGGGAAGCATGCCGAGTTACTGACCAGTTAGGGAACGGCATCCTTGTGCCCACAGTCGCACCAGAAGTCTGCACCGGCTAATTTCCCTGCATGAGCAGTTAAACACATGCTTTCTAGATTAAAAGACACAGTCTACAAAAAAAATTGTGCATGATGATACATTTTCTAAAGTATATTCCAAATATTAAGCTTTAGAGACAAAACAAAATATAAAGTTGGATTTTGTTTTCGGTAAGAGAGACAGGCTAAGCCCTCAGTCACCGTCCTAAGATGAGCACCCCCGCTCATCACATAACTGAAGCTGAAATCCCAGCCGAGTTTCTAGGACTGTGTGGAACATGAAACTGGGCACTGCACAAGGGGCAGCACTACCGACCATCTCCAGCCACAGTGGTAAAAGATGCCACCTTCTCACCATAACTCTGGTGGGCCCACTACAGAGCTAAAGTGGCCAACAGACAGAGGCACGCTGGGACAACAAACATTGGTTCTTACCTAGGGGAGAACTTGGTGCTCTCCCCTGCTCCAGGGCATAGCGTGCAATGTTTGCAGCCATCTTTTGTTGTCATAACTGGGGAGGAAGAGCTACTGGCGTCTAGGGTATAGGAGACAGGGCTGTGGCTGAATAGCCCACAACAGTGAGTTACACAGTCCGAAATGCAAACCGCGGGGATACTGAGACCTCTGGTGCAGTGAACAGAGAGCACAGGAGTCTCCCAAGGCCTGGCTAGATAATATGGCCATAGCTCAGAATTAAGAAACCCAGAAAGCAGAATTCTGATCTACCAACATCATACCGACTGTGAAAAATGAAAATACTGGGCTGATTTTAGCACTCTCCCACTCTAAGACCAGCAGAAGTTCACGTGAATGCAGACAGCATCTACTCCAGTCTCCAATCTGAATGGCATAAGCCAAGAGCATCCTATATCCACTACAGTTTTAGCAGAAAAGATGGCTTAAGGAATAATCTGACAGGATATCCTTAATGTTTTCATATATCCAGCCTTCTACTCCACTTCCTAATTGAGTGCATTTGGCTTTAATTCCAGAAACAGAGATGCATCAAGATCATTTCAATATTTGTGGATAAGAGCTGAAAATGATGCTTGTGTGAAATGGACAGAAAAGCACCTCACATATCTCTGAGAACCACCCCTGATTAGAAGACATTAAGAAATGGGGGAGGGGCGTTCCCAATTACAGAATTTGAGAAAAAAAAAAAAAACCACATATACTGTAAGTCACTTCACAGATCCAGTATGAAGCCATTCACTTCCCATGCTCACTCCCGTGCATAGAAACAGTGCAAACTACAGTAACAACCATGTCCCTCGCAGCTGTGGGCCTTTGGCATCACCGAGGAGAATGAAGTCTCACCCTGCGGCTCACAATAGCAATGTCGATGGTTTTGAATGGTTAAGCCTGGCAGGGTAGTTTCTTCCCATCAGAACAACTTCAAAGTACATAAGGTATTAGGCTAGGTGTTCTTTTGAAAAATGTATTGTTTCATGAGTATGTCTCCATGTATGTCTGTGTAACTTGTGTGTCTGGTACCCCAGGAGGCCAAAACAGTGTCAGATCCCCTGGAGATGCAGGCGGCTGTGACCTCCATAGGGTGCTGGGGAGCAAACTCAGGTCTCGAGCAAGCGGTCTCAGCCTCAGCTGTCTCCAGCCCAAGACGAGGTTCTTGATGATTGTCAAAGCAGTGGTCCCTTTTGATCAGTTTGACTCTTGGAGGACTGAAGTCATTCTTATTGAAATGATAGCTATTAAATTTCTTAAATCAAGACTAATGTGATCATTAAAATAAGGAGAATCACGTGGAGACAGGAACAGGAATTGGGAGCCTCTTTTGAGACTTTAGGCACAATTTGGTAGGGGGTCCTGACTTCTTTTCTGCAGTCAATGCTTTATCACTGCCCACTGAAGACTTCGTCTGGTGTTGATGACCTTTTACATTTTTCAGGATATTTTTCTTACATGAGAAATGATAATCTCCACGGCTAACTATTGCTTTGCAGACTGGAGGTTAGGACACCTCCAGGGATCCACAGGAGACATCTCCAGACATTGCCATTTGCCTGGGATCCATCCCACAACATCTCTCTTCCCTCTATACCACTTACATGATACACTTCAAGCTGCTTAACTTAGATCGTCTCAAAAATATATTTTGAAAAACTATTCCATTTATTTAGAGCTACCAAATTCAGTCTTTAAGTTTGTACCCTTATAGCCATAAAGCAAAGGGCACTGGGATAACTTATTAGGGAAAAGTTTTTTACCAATCTCAATGGTAGGTAGTTAGAACTATTGACTACTGCTTTAAACAGATGAGAAATTATGTCTTAAAATCTGCATAAGGCAAGGTCCACAAGAGCTGATGTGGTCACATGACTATCAAAGGGGTGATCATGCCAGCTGCATTAGTCACTGATGGGGGTCAGGGGTGTCTGGTTGTACATGATTCCAGTGGGCATCCATGGACCACAACCTAAATTCCAGTTGGCAGTGCACACAGTTTTGGAAAAAGAATAAGTAAATATAACAGGAGCTAAGGAGACTCCAAGCCAGTCAGTCTTCCTTTTCTCACCGGTGTTTCCCATTAGACACTGGACCCTTGGTTCTAGGTCCAGCTGTGTTCTAATAGGAACACTTCCCATCAGCGTGCTGCCTTCCGAGCCCGTGGGGAGATCGATGCTTTTGTGCTTTGGAGTTATAAGGACATGAACCTTTACAGACTTGAAAGTATACCTTTAAAATGCTTCCCCACCCCGATACTAAGCAGCTGAGAACAGATAAGGGGTCCCTCTGCTGTTGAAACGACTGGCATGAACATTTTAGGGGACAGGTGGTGTGGCCCATAACGACACAGCCGGGGATCTGCAGTTTCCGAAGGTGGCTGCACTGGAGCAGGCGCTGCTGGTCTGAGGGGAACACTGAAAGGGGCTTTAGGATGGGAGTGAGAGATGTGTTTTATCTTCAGAACTCTGCTCTCACATAATCTTTAAAATAGACAATTATACAAAACATATCTATTGTTCTCATAACGTTTAAATAAATTAACACAAAGTGTAAAGTACGGCCTTAGTTTTCATCTTCCTCTTCCTGCTTAATTACTGGAGTACCTAAAATGAGAAAAAAATATTATTTCTTGTCTCTTTTCTATTTTTTGAGACAGGGTTCTCTATGCAGTCTTGGCTGTTCTAGAACTTGCTATGTAGACCAGGCCCCCCCCTCTCTCCCAATCTGTCCCTCTCTCTTGATAACCTTGGATGTGCTGATATTCTCTAGAAGAAGCTGGCCTTGAACTCAAAGATCCGCCTGCCTCTGCCTCCCTGAGTGCTGGGATTAAAGGCAGGCGCCATCATGTCTGGCTATTTATTGAATCTTTTTATTTTTACATGGCAAAATTCTGTCTCAAAAAATAAACAAAAGAATGAAACAGAACCCCTAATCTAATATAGACCCTGTGGGTTTGTGAGCATGAGTATAGTGTCCTGGAGACCATAAGTGTCACACCTCTCAGAACTGGAGTTATATGTGTTTGTGGGATGCCTAGCTAACATGGGTGCCTGGATCTGAATCCAGCTGTCATGATTATATAGCAAGTTCTCTTAACCACTGAGCTACCTTTCCAGTCCTTCCATCTTCCATTCTCTCTCTCTCTCTCTCTCTCTCTCTCTCTCTCTCTCTCTCTCTCTCTGTGTGTGTGTGTGTGTGTGTGTGTGTGTGTGAAAAAGAGAGAGAGGATCCTTCATTAGCCTGGAGTACTGGAACCACAAGCTTATGCTACAAGCACCTAGCTTTTTCACACGGGTTTTGGGATCAAATGCAAGTCCTTAGGTAAGGATTTATACTTGCTTTATATTTGTAAGGCGAGCACGTGACCAGCTGAGCCATCACACCAGTACATGTTTGTTGTTTTGACAATGGTGATGATTACACATGTTGAAACTTATCAAACTCTCTACTTTGGATATGTCAAGTTAATTGTGCTAATTATACCCTAGTTAAGTTGGTTCTTGTTTTGGGTACAGAAAGCAGATACTTGAGGACCTTGTGGAGGCTCTAATTCCCATCACAAGAACAGAGAACACTTCTCTTCCTTAGGGAGACATATGAGAATAACCTGTGCATATTTTTTAACTACATACATCTTCTTACTCTCCTCAGAGATTCTGCAGGGTTCCTCTAGTGCAGCGGTTCTCAACCTTCCTAACGCTGTGACCCTTTAATACAGTTCCTCATGTTGTGGTGACCCAAAACAGGAAATTATTTTTGTTGCAACTTCATAACTAATTTTGCTGCTATTATGAATCATAACGTAAATATTCTTGGGGACAGAAGTTTGCCAAAGGGGCCGTGACCCACAGGTTGAGAACCACTTCTGGAGCCCCACTTAAGAAAGGCTGTAGCTACCTGCTGCGGATAAAAGGTTTGACTGTAGGGCGTTAGTGGTTATAAAGAAGGGATGAAGAGTCACAGCCCAGGATGCGAGAGTGGAGCAGGGTGAAGCAAGGTGACCCTTTATTTTGCGGGATCGTCAGTGTGAGCGCACCGATGAGGACAACATGGAAATGCGCCTTTGGGACGGCGCAGCAGTTGCGTCCTTTCTTCCTTTCTCCCAGTCAGTCAGTCAGGCTCGTCAGTCATGTGCAGGGTTGTTTTAGGAACAGAAATGAAAGCAGAAAGAGACCACAGACTTGCTTTGTCTCTGAAAAACATCAGAAGGCTGAGCAGAATCTGTTAGTGGGAAGGAGCATGAAGACGCCTCCCAAATTAGGAAGGTACTTCCCGAGGATGTCAGGAGAGAAGTTCTAGAACAGGGGACCCCTGGCCCTGGTTTTTAACACTACTAGGAGGGAATGAATGCCTGAGGAGAGAATCTTGTGGTCATCATAGACCTCATTCAAAAACAAAAACCAACCAAGCAAACAGGAAGGCCACTTCCACAACGCAGGTGGACAGCATGACAGGAGTTTCGGGAATGGGGACAATTGATGCTTCTGTTATACTTGTTGGGGACTGCTGACCTACAACTTTTCCTCAGGACCTGCTATAATGATGGCATCATCCAGAGAGATATTAAGAATGTCTTACTAGAGCTGATTGTGGTACCGTTAATCCCAGAACTTGTGAGTTTGGGTCAGCCTAGACTACATCAGGAGTTCTAGACCTGCCTAGACTATATAGTAAGACCCTGTCTCAAAAGACAAACAAAAACCCAAAAAACAAAAATGAATGTCATACTAAGTTTCTTGATAGCCCAGCTGAATTAAATTGGAAGGTGGAGTTCAAAGCCAAAATAAATTTATACTGAGATATTTTTAATATGCTTGAGTTTCTGGATTATTTAAATATTTTAAGATAATTACAATGTATTATTTAATATTTTGTGCTAAGGACAATATTTAACAGATTATTTCTCTTAATCCTCATAACAACACTATGATATACCCTTTAATATGATTACTAATGGTATTATTGTCTTTAGCTTTTCTATTACAAATGAACAAGGCTTGATAAACTTCATTAGCAAGCATAATTTTCGAGCTGGGACTTGGCCCAGTTGGTTAGGGTATCTACTGACATGACATGGATCTCAGGGACTAGGAAACTAAAGTCACGGGGGAGAAAGTAAGGAGAACAATAGAATTCTGATTAAATTGTGAAGGGCAACTATTTGTCATTTATGCCCAACTATCCCACAAAATAACGGTCTTAGAACTTGGGAATAAGCCTAGTTTCTTACAGGATTTAAGCCCAGGGTGGTCTTTGTACCAGTCTAAAGTTCCTAGGAATTTCTCATTATATTTGGCCTAAAACTGGATGATCAAATCACAGAACAGAAATGACCTTAACAATGAGAGACAACCTTCCTTTTCTCCAGTTTTGCTCTTTCTCATAATCCTATCCAGAATTTCAGGTTTTACACCCAGGAAACACTTCCCAGCGAGCCCGAGCCACTTACCATCCAGCTTTTTCAGCTTCGGCACCCTCTTGGTTGCTTCATCGATCCAGTTGCCCTCTGCAGAATGCTTCTCCTCCAGCGGATTGCCTACGAACACCAGGTCTTCCAGGCATGGCAGTTCTGCCAGTTTCACGAATTCAGCTGCAAGCACACAGAACACCGTCCACGTTGATAAACTGGGGTCATACTCACACAGTTTTGGAGACAGAATTCAATCACAGACTCCATTTGTGACCATGCGGGACTGTGGTTTAAGTTTTTGAAGAATATGGGAACTTTATATAAAGTCATCATTTGAGGATATTCAGGGAGGGAATGAGGAACTATCTCTTCTACCTTTCTCACGATGGGATAGACAGAGAAGGTCAGTGTTGAAAATGACAGTGAATTAGCCTCAGAGGTACTGCATCTGTGGAGGATGCGCCAGCCTGCCTTTGTCTCCGAGTTCTTGAGCAACTCATTCAAATCCCTATTACAGAACCTACAACAGTTTACAAATATTATCTTCCTCTCTTCCCTCTCAGCTGTGAACTGAGCAGCTGGAATAATGTTCACATCCCACATGTTTTTCAAGCATCTGGCATAGTTCATGTTGTATACAGCATGGCATTAGAACATGCTGAAAGAATAACATACAAAAAGAGGCAAAGCCATGTAGGCAGCAAATCAGTCTTTCACGTTTATTAAATTTAAATGACTTTCTTTAGCTTTGGATAATACACTTTTTTCATGGCCAGGACCTATGCAACCATAAAGTCAGTGTGTGTGTGTGTGTGTATGTGTGCACATGTGTGTGTGCACTCGCATGTACATGTGCATGGATGTGGTGACTGAGGTTGGTATTTCGGTGTCTTCCTCAAATCCTCTTAACCTTATTTTTTGAGGCAGGGTCTCTCACTGAACATTGGCTCACTGATCCAGCTTGCCGGACTGTTCACAAGCCTAGGATTCTGTCTCCACCTCCCCACTACCACTTGGATTACAGATGCCCATTGTCTATTCCCAGCTTTTACATGGGTCCTGGGGATCTGAACTCAGGTCCTCATGTTTGTGAGACACGAAGCCATTTTCCTAGGCGTAAGTAAATAGCTAAATATACATTTCTATATACTTCTTATATTTAAAATTGGGGAATTCCTAGAGTTATTCCCAAAGCTGTTTTTCTCTGCATTTAAAAATAAAAGTTCTTGGGGTTGGAGAGATGGCTCAGAGATTAAAAGCACTGGTTGCTCTTCCAGAGGTCCTGAGTTCAATTCCCAGCAAACACATGGTGGCTCACAACCATTATAATGAGATCTGGTGCCCTCTTCTGGCATGCAGGCATACATGCAGGAAGAACACTATACATAATAAAAAAAAAATCTTTACAAAAAGAAGGTTCCTGTTTTATGTATTTTCCCTTAATTGGGTGCTTTCTCTTTTTATTAGTGTGCTGTGAGGTAAGTCTCACTACCTCAAGCTCTGTCCTGCCTCGGCATCCTGCGTGTGGGGTACATCACATGCAAGACCAGCTCTGCTGACTGTTTTTTATGAGCTGAGCAGGACGCAGGAGACTAGCAAGAGCTGCTCTCAGCTTACCCCAGTCTTTTACCAGGTTATTAGACATGTAGAGAATCTTCAGTTTCTTCATCACATGGATCCCTTTCAGCTTCTCAATGAAATTGTAGGAGATCCACAGTTCTTCTAACGTGTCTCCTACTGCTTCCTGGAAAAGACAGCATCTGATTGACATTCTCATTTTTTACCCCATTGTGCCTCTTTCCTTACAAACATATGGAATGGCTTCTAAAGAGATCTGAGAGTTGTCTGCCCACTTCCTGAAGAGCTGACACTCTGGAAGTTCCAGTTCACGAAGGGGACAAAACAGAACATTCCCTACCCTATTAAGTGGCTCTGAACTCTGTTCTCTGATTGCTTCACGAACATTCAAGAATAGCTACTGAAATCACCAAAAGGAGAAGTAACGGCAGGATTCCATCATGTTTACTGAATCGTAGTTTCAAATTACTTTCTTACAGGCTATAATATTTGGTCCTAAGAAAACTTAAAAGTAGACAAACCAATTTAGTTTCTGTATTATATAAGGCACTATCTCAGATCTCATTTACATTAAGTCCCAGAACTTGCTCTAAAATTCAGACTTTTCCCAAGATTAATTATTAAAACATTAAGAGAATTTTCCATTCTATGAGCTCACAGATCCAGAACATAGTATGAGCTATCCTATCTACCCATCATCACTGTGCATGGGCATCATTCCCGAGGAGCTGCCTACCTTGTTCTTTGAGACAAGGTCTCTCATTGGCCTGGGGATCACCGATTTGACTGGGCTGGCTGGCCAGCAAGCCTCGGGGATCCCATCTCTGTGCCCCCATCTCTGGGATTACAATCATATATAGTTGCTCTTTTTAAGTGGGTTCTGAGGGTCAAATACAACCTTCTTATCCTTGTGGAACAAATATTTTACCATCTAAGCTGTCTCTTCAACCTCATCTTATTTTGATATATGAAATTCAGTTTTAAACACTTAGTCTTTCTATTACAGAATAAAAGTTATATTATACTGCCTTTTAAATGTTGCACAAAGATTTCAGTAGACATTAGACAAATGCAATGATCTTTTCCTTTAAAACAAAGTACTAGGCAGGGCTCACTCTGTTTCTGCAGTGTGTCTCCTTTGCCTCTTACAGTTTACATGCACTCACATGGTAATGTCTGGTGGGCCCAGGTCAAACTCTGTGTAATTGTCCCTTAAAAGACTATGGACAGAGTAAGATCCTTAATGCATTTTCCATAATGGTCAACCAGGGAGGAAAGGTGAGAACAGGGTAGCCTGTGCTAACTCTTCTATCTCAACCCCCATATCTCACCTCAGTTTTAACTTCCCAACTAAAAAGCACAGGAATACTTTTAACCACTCTATCTTGGCACTCCTGTATCAGGAAATTGGGACTTAACTAAGTTTTCTAAACTAATGTTCTGACATCTCCCAAAGGATCTAATTACAATATCACACAAAACTTTTAGAGCAAAAGAATTAGTCTTCAGATAACTTATATTTCAATCTATACAATTTTACTGCCTTAGACTCCTGTCTTTCTCATGTCTCCATTAAGGGTGATGAGGTAGCAGAAACCACACATTAAATACTGAGAAGACTTAGGCCCAGCTGAGTTGTAGCCAGGGTGGGACGTGGCTGAGCATGCATCATGCTCCAGGTTCGATCCTCAGTATCCCCTTGTGAGTACCGAAACAGAACAACTAAGGGTCTCCCCTTGTGAGAGTATGTCAGAGCTTCTGGGAGTAGGAAGGTTTTATTGGCTGTCGTTAAGACTTTGATTTTGGACCATACAGTGACAGATCGTTACTGTTTGATTAGTATAAAGAATTCAGATAATATAATATTGTTTATAAGACTTTAGAATGCATGATTTCTAAATACTGAGGATTGTTTGTGACTTACTACTCAGGAATACAAAACAAATAGTCCCGCCCCCACCAGGCGGCTCTGGGGCTTACACTGAGCCTTACAAGGGCAGGTTAGTGCTCTAACACTGAGTTACAGCCCCACCCGAGACAAGCAGCCGGTTACCTCATTACCATGACTTATGGAAGAAAAGTCGCACCATTCACTGCAGCAATGAGAACTACAAACTCCCAGGAATACATTTCTGCTCAAGAAATGTAGCAGGTCTTATAGAACGTAAACTTATTTAACTTTACTAAAGAACAATAAAATGCACAAATCTTCCTGTAAAAATTTATTGTTACAAAGCCATCAATTCTTTCAATCCATCTATTTAATGCATTTCCAGTACAATTTCCAAAGGGATTTATGCACAGGATTATGACAAAGTGTTCTCAAATTTCTCCAGAGTAAACACACAGGAAAAGTCATAAATATTTTACAAAGGAGAGAAGACTTGTCCTAGTAGATATCCCAAATAATATAAAGCTAAAGAAAGAAGGCAGCAGACAGGTAGCAGGACTTTATGAAGGGAATGAGAGGACTCTAGCCAAGTGGGAACACACTCACATGTACAAGAGTTTGGTGAGCAGCATTTCCAAACCGTGGGAAGAGGGCTTGAACAAACCCTCATCTTTATTTATGTATACTGTCAGCATGTGTATCTGTGCGCCATAAGCACGCAGTTCTTGCAGCGGACAGAAGAGTGTGTCAGATCCCTGGGACTAAAGTTACAGACTGTTGTGAGCTGACATGTGGGAATGGAGATCAAACCCAGGTTCTCTGGAAAAGCAGCCAGTGCTCTTAACCACTGAGCCATCTCTCCAGCCCCCAAAGAGACGTTTCTGTAAATGGCTAGTCATTTAGAGAAACAGAAGGAAATACCATCTGATCCTTAGATACACATAAAAATAAACTCTAGATGGATTAGACAGTGAACTTTATGCATTTGGTTTATGTGCACATGCGTGTATGTGTGTAGAGGCCAGAGGTCAAGTTGAGTGTCTATTAGTCTCCACCTAATTTTTTGAAACAGGGTCTCTCACTGAACCTAGAGCTCACCATTAAGCTAGGCTGGCGAGTGAGTCCTCAGAATCTTCCTGCCTTTATTGCCGAGCTCTCAGACTACAAGTGCGTCCTGCGCCTGGCTTCTTCACAAGCTGGGGTCCAGACTTGGGTCCTTCACTCACTAAGCCACCTCCTGGGCTCTGGTATAAATTTCTGAACACTGTAGACAGGTGTGATGCCTCATGTCTGTATTCCTAGCATTCAGGAGGCTGAGGCAGGAGGACTGCTGTAAGTTCAAAGCCAACCTAGGTTACAGAGGTCTTACCTCAGTTTGCCTCACTGCATTCATTAACACCTGATGCACAGTTATTGTTTAGTATTTCTCTCATGACCATAAGGTGAGTTCAATGAGAGCAAAGGCTGTTTTATTTTTTTTCTGGTGTTTCTTTTTTCTTTTTCTTTTTTTAGATTGATTTATTATGTATAGTGTTCTTTCTGCATGTATGCTTGCAAGCCAGAAGAGGGCACGAGATCTCATTACAGGTGCTTGTGAGCAGTCAGTGCTCTTAACCGCTGAGCCATCTCTCCAGCCCTTTTTCTGGTTTTTCAAGACAGTGCTTCTCCGTGTAGCCCTGGTTGATCTAGAACTCATTCTGTAGACTAGGCTGGCCTTGATCTCAGAGATCCACCTGCCTCCGCTTCCCAAGTGTTGGGATTAAAGGTGTGCGCCACCACACCTGGCTCAAAAAAGATTTTAATTCTGTCATTTATCTAGTGTTTAGACCAGTCCCTGCTTAAAGCAGGTATTCACAGGGTTAGAGAGGTTAAAAACAGTTAAAAGTGTTTGTTCTGTAACCAGGACCCCCACCTGAGAAGCAGTTTGGATCCCAACACCTATGAACAAAGCCAGGCATCCCTGCAAATGTCCAGATCTGAGGGCACAGAGACAGAAGGATCTGGAGTCTTGCTGGCTTCTTTCTAGTCTAGCTAAATCCAGATTCAAGCTTCATGTTCAAGAAGAAACTGTGCTTCACCAGAGCAGTATTCATCTACCTAGAGATGGTTCATCCAGCAACAACATTTGCTGAGGACCTGAGTTCAATCCCTGGGACCCACATGGTGGAAGAAAGAAGTGACTTGCAAGTTGCACTCTGACTTTGCCATGTATAACTTTGTACACACACACAGACACACAGACACACACACACACAGACACACACACACAGACACAGACACACACACAGACACACACACAGATACACAGACACACACAGACACACACAGACACACACACACACACACACACACACACACACACACGTAGGCCAGTGAGATGACTCAGCAGGAAAAAGGGTGAAAGGGTTTACTGCCAAGCCTGATAACCAGAGTTTAATCCCAAAGCATAACCAGAGTTTAATCCCAAAGCCCACATGATAGAAGAGACCTGAGTCCCAAACAATCTCCTCTGACCTCCACAGCATGCCATGGTGAACACACGTACAAACAAATGTAGGCCTTCAGGAAACATGCCAATGGATTCACTTAGTGGATTACATGAAAAAAAATCTGTATATTAAATTTTAAAAGGAGACACAGAGCTAGTGAGACAGCTCAGGGCACAAACATTTCTTCCCCGTCTGATGACCTGAGTTAAATCCCAGGACCTAGATGTGGAAGGACTTGATCCCCTCAAGTTGTCTTCCGACATTCACATTCATGCCATGGCATAAGCCTAAACACACACACACACACACACACACACACACACACACACACACAATAAATATAATGTAAAAATAAATGAATAAAATAAAGATACAAAGCAGCATGCACAGTACAATTCCACTTTACAAACTCCTCAAGCAGCCAAGCCAACACGAGCAGTTTCAAACTGTCAGTGGTTTGTTGGTACTTGTCCTATTTGGTTTTATAACTGTAAAAGTTCTGCAATAGAAAACCATTATTTTATAAGAAAAAAATATATACTTTTTAAAAAGTAAAACAATAACCTACCAGTCCATTGAGGTTCTTGATGTTGTTTCTTCCTAATGACAAAATCCTCAAGTTTTCTGTTGTGGAAAAAAGGCATTTTGTTTGTGAGAAATATACATGCAACTATCCTTAGTCTAGTAGAACAACGCCCTAAGAAATGGTATAGAATTAATACCTCTACACAGTGAGTTACAAAGGCTCTACTACCAAATAGGTAATGGAGCTGGCAAGATGGCTTAGTGGACGCTTGCTGCCAAGTTTGATGACTTGAGGTCACTGCTCAGGACCCACACTGGAGTGGACCCCACAAGCAGTTCCTCTCACCTCCACAGTTGTGCAGGTTACTTCAGTTACAGAGGAAAAACCCAAAATAGCCTAAATTGTTAATGAGTCAGCAGAAATGGGAACCAGGCGCCATCTTAGACACAAGTCTAGGAGTAGCTAACACATCCCCTGCACATTCAATGGCAGTGAAGAATAGGGGTGCAGAGTGGACTGGGATGGACACTAAGGCTAGGATATGAGACATCCCCCTAAAAGGCTCATGTGTTAAAGGCTTGGTTCCACATCAACAGTGTTCAGAGGTGGAACTTTGGGGAACTGACTGGGGCATGGTGGCTTTGATCTCATTAATAGATTAATTCAATGATGGACTCATAATACATGGCATTAACAGGAAGTGGCAGGAAATAGGAAGTGGGAACCAAGGGGAAGAAGCGGGCCAATGTGGGTACGCCCTGGGAAGATATGCCTTGTTCCTGGCCCCTTTCTCTCTCTCTTTTGGGAAGCACAGCCAACTCTCCTCAGCAGTGACATCCTGCCTCAGTGTCCACCTTGCCTCAGGCCCAAAGCAACAATCTAGATGAGCCTGACTGAAAATTCTGAACCCATTAGCCACAAAAATTCCTCCTTGCTATAGTTTCTCTTGGCATTCACCATGGGGTAAGGAGTCTGACCGACATGAAGATAGGAAAGCTTCCAGGCTGCAATGATTCCTCTTGAGGGCGCCAAAGAACACTTTCCCAGCTATAGCCATTGCTAATCTTTACTCGGTTGCTTTGTTTTGTTTTTAGTGCTGGAGATTTAACCTAGGGCTTTATGTATGTCAGGCCAGCATTTCACCACTGAAGTTTATCACCAGACTCCTCCCATTTTGAAACAAGAGTTCATTCTGTAGCCCAGGCTGGCCTAGAATTCATTATGTAGCCTAGGCTGGCCTTGAACTTGTAGTAATCATTCTGCCTGAGCTTCCCAAGTACTGAGATTATACATTATGCACCACTATGCCTAGCTTCAGTCTTTCCCCCTTTAAAAAAAGTTCTATTCTTAGGACAAGGTCCTGCAAAGGTTGCTCATACTGTCCTCAAACTCAAAGCTCTTTCCACAGCTTCCCAAATAGCTCAAATTCTATTGCATACTACCACACATAGCTTTAGCCTTCATTGTAGATGTACCATATACAATTCTATATATATATTGACTCACTTGAATGTTATTAAAATCTAAGGTAAATTATTATAAACATTCTCAATTTATGATCATGATGGCGGAGTTCTGGGAAGTCCTAGAGAGGAGGGGGCATTTAAATGTGGCATTCTTAATCCTGACCTTAATTTCTTACAGGGTTTCTCTTGGGAGATGATGAGCCTGTACTTAATGAGAAGCACTATCTAAGCAAATGCACAAAAAAGAATGGTACAGCCAGGCATGGTAGTGCACACTTTTAATCCCAGCACCCTGGAAGCAGAGGCGGTTAGATCTCTATGAGTTTGAGACCAGATGGGTCTACACAACAAATTCTAGGCTAGCCAGGGCTACATAGTTAGACCCTGTCTCAAACAATAAGAACAAAGAAACAAGCAAAAAAAATCAAACCAAGAAAACCAACTAACCAACAAAAGCACGGTATGTTTATGTCTGAGAATGACTAGGGCAGTACAGGATTTTAGATGACTCTGACGGCATTAGGCATTAAATTTCTATTAGGCAAAGAGGAATGATGAAAAGGTTTCTGATCTGGGAGAATGGTATTATCAGCACGAGAACTCTAGTGTCAGTGAGGACAGTTAAGAAGAGATAGACAGAAAAGATCACTGTGGATGCTGTTACAAGAATCAAAGGCCGTTCCTAGGTCATGAAATCAGTGCAGTGTGTTATGGGCTGGGTGGGTATTTAAGTGCTAGCATGAAGACTTGACTCTGACTCCAAAAACCCATGAAGCACAGCTGGTGTGTTGTGCACTTGTAGCCCCAGGTCCAGTGAGGCGAAGATCGGCAGACCCCTGGGGCTGGCTGGCTAGCCTAGCCTACTTGGCCAGCCCCAGGCCAGTAAAAGAAGATGGCTTTTGAAGAATGATATCCAATGTTGGCCTCTGACCAAAACATACACAGGTGTACAAACTCAGTGTGTTAGGACTGACATTAAAGAAAGACTCCACATTTTAAAATTCACACTAGAACTTATACTACAGGGCATATGCTGTTTTCCAAACTATCCCAGTTTATGTGTGTACATTTGATTTGTATATTTATAGAAAAGAAAAATAAGTTCAAATGTATTTTTCCCTGCAAGACTTAACGGGGAGCTAATGAGGCTCTACATAAGGGGTGTGCTCCTGGCAATGGGAAGCAGCAGTCATCTGAGAGGACCTTCACAGAAGACAGGAAACAGGGCTCAATGGTGGACTTGGAGCAGGGCTTGGTGGGGCAGGCAGTGCCACAGACTAAATAATAGCTCCCCCAAAGATACCTACATGCTAATCCCTGGAGCCTGTGACTGTGCCTTTGTATGGAATAAAAATCCTTTGTAGAAGTGTCCAAAGATCTTGTGATAGAGCCAGCACCCAAAGGCAGAGATAGGCAGATCTCTGTGAGTTCAAGGCCAGTTTGATCTACATTCTGTCTAAGACAGGGATACATAGGAAGACTCTGTCTTGGAAAACAACAACAAATAAGAAAAAAGAAAAGAAAAAGAAAGGAAGCTGGGCGGCGGTGCACGCCTTTAATCCCAGTACTCGGGAGGCAGAGGCAGGTGGATCTCTGTGAGCTCGAGGCCAGCCTGGACTACAAGAGCTAGTTCCAGGACAGGCTCCAAAGCTACAGAGAAACCCTGTCTCAACTCCCCCCCCCCCCCAAAAAAAAAAAGAAAGGAAAGATCTTCAGACAGGGGATCATCCTTCCTATCTGGTGTGCCAAGTGTCCACATGTCCTGAAGGGAGAGAGGCAGGGACTTAGCACAGAAAGAACAGGAGCTACTTTGACCTCAAAAGCAGAAGTTGGCATCATGCAGTCAGAAGCCAATGGATGTGGCAGCCACCACAAAATGGAAGGAGCAGGAGAAAGAGTCTTCCGAAAAGACTCAGAGGGAGGCTTGATTTTTCGCTCATATTTGCAGCTTCTAAAACTGTAGAAAATACACTTCTGTCACTGGAAACTAACTGAGAAAGTAAGAAACAGACGCAGGGTGGGCAGAGCATAGAGGGCATGGGACAGTGGGGACTTAAAATCTAAATACAGCAAGTTCAAAACATAGACAAGCCAAATCTGAACACTACCACAACAAAAGACAACAGAAAATCTGGCTGTCCCAGTCACCTCAACTTCAACTCCATAAAGGTTTTAAAGGGACTTAAAAATATTCAGGTCTCACACTATCTCTCATTCTTTTTGGATAACCAAACTCAGGACATGGTTATATAGTCTCCGTCATCTGACACGTACTACGGCTAAAACAGGTGCCAGCATCTGGAACGACACATGTCTCTGGAATGTTTGCTCCAGTAACTAGAAACCCAAGCACCATCTGTTCCTGGGGATCACTTACTTAAGCCGTTCAGGTTGGCAATTTTTTCAATGCAGTTTGTAGACAGGGAAAGCTTCCTTTAAGAAAACAAACAAAAACTTTAATTACTTTGAAAAACCTAAGTGCAATGTCAGAAATTATTTCTTAATAGTGATAGTCCATGGAAGATTTTTAATTCATGTTTCTTTTTATACTTAATACATTTTCCCCTTCACTCATAGAATTTATTCTTTCATTTTGAAATTTTACCCCCAAATGATTATAAAAGTTAATATACACTCATTATAGAGAATTAACAACAAACTTTTAAAGGGAAGTTTGGTGTTATCTATCAAATTTTTAGTACATGTATTCTTTGATTGAATATTTCATAGTCTTCCGAGATATTACTGGTATTGCATTTTATGAATGAAATTGAAGTGCAAAGCTGTTAAGCGATTTTCCCACTATTACATAGTTACAAAATGGCAGGGCCAGAATTAAAACCCTAGAACATGTATCTTACCCTCATGATTTGAGTTGAAGAGGAATTATTCATTTTTAATCTGCTTGAAAAAGCAAAGGCAATTACTATATAAACACTTGGTAAGTAAAGGGCCAACTCTGCGTGCCTCCTATTCACCCGCCCACTCCTGAGCACTACCAACAGAAAAGGGATGCCTTTACGTCGAAGGCTATGACTGGAAAAGAATTCTTTAATTTCTCTTTAGGCAATCTGTCCCAAGATGCCTGCAAAAAATATGAACAGCCTGGCTCTTTCTAAGTGGTTTCTGAGGTGCTTATGTAGGTCAGAGGCCTCAAACATGTTGACACAGATAGTTTTAGGATAAAACATATTTGATTACTTTGAAGCAAAACAATTTTTGTTCTGTGCTTTCATCACATGGAACAAGTTGCACTCGGTAACTAAACATGTTTGCTTTTCCTTTTGATCCAAAGATATTAGTCTAATAGCTTTGCAGATATGTGTCCAAGAATGGTCCAGTTTGTTTACTGTAAATAAGACACTAAGGTTTCATTAGCAGACCTTCTGCTTCTGTGAAACTGGGATTGGGTTAATCTCCTACAGAAAGGGCAAGTAAAAGGGTCACAATTAGGTAAGCACAGGGTGAAGGAACCCCAAGAACTCTGGAGTACTCTCCAGTCCCGACAAGATACAGGAAGTGTGAAAACATGGATACGATGCATCAGAATACAATTTCCAGGTTACCCACAGAACGTTTAGAAAATAAGAATTAGTATCAACCTGATATTTAAAGTCCTGGGAAATAAGATTACAAAGTGAGTATAATCTGATAACAATTTGAGCTTTTCGTTTGTTTTTATGAAATAGTATCTCATTATCTGACCCTGTGCTAATGATCCTCCTGCCTCAGCCTTCCGGAGGGTGAGGCTACAGGCATACGCCACCATGCCCAGCCTAACCAGGATTACTTCAAAGTGCTAATACTAGTCCCACAATGTACTGCAATTTAGGTTGACGTTAATCCCTTTTTTCATATTCATTGTATTTTCTAGGTACTTTGAACTGTATTAAAGTTCTTTTTTTCTTTAAGAGGCATGTCTTAGGTATCTAGTAAGAGACACGACTTTGATTTTAGTAGGTAACTTTACAAGACAGTGCAATAGACTGTTAAATTTTGTTTCATTACGTTACTGCTGTTTGGGGGCGGGACTCAAGAGCTAGGCAAGTACTGTTCTAGTGAGTTTGATGACCCCCAGCCCACTTTTTTTTCTTTTTAACATTTGTGTATGCATTTGGTGTGCACATGTGTACACACAGGTAGAGGCCTAATGTTGAGGAATCATGCTTCTGAATCATTCTCCATTACTCTTCCATTGAGGCAGGGTCTCTCAATCAAACTCAGAGCTCACTGATTTGAAAGCTTGCTCTGGGGATTCCTTGAGGTTGGAATTCGCCAGCACTGATGTGGGTTCTGGAGGTGTGACCTCCAGTTATCAATGTTTGGCAATGTAGGCTGATGTTAATTTAACCACTGACCCATCTCTCCAGTCTCCTTCCCCAGCCCTTTTTGTTTTTATTTTGAAAGACTTGATAAATTTCCCAGGTTAACTTTCAATATCATCCCCCTGCTTAGGAAGCAGACAAATCAACAAGTTACTGTGTTATTTAGCTTTTGCAAAAGACTAGGTAACTTCTATCTATAAACACTGTATAAAAACTGTATAAAAATGTACTGTTTGGTATCACTCAATCAATAATCCCATAAACCAATAATTTTTCACATTTTGCTTTGTCAGGAGAAACTTCAATAAACAATAACAATAAAGACCCCAGAAAGCAAACAAGTTTGTGTACGAAAAGGAAGGAAAACTTAGCAATACTAGGAGGATGAGAGGGGCCTTACTCGCAGTTGGCAAGTGTGGACAGAGACGCATCCATCTTCTCTATCGGGGGGATCTGGGCATACAGTTTTATCTCTCTGGCCTCAGACGGCCTCTGACCGGTCTTTTCTTCCTATGGAAAAAATTAATGTGGCACAAAATCATCCTTGGTCATAACGTGGAACAAAAGAGGTCAGAATTTCACGAGGCCTTTTAGTGTTTGTCTTTGAATAATTATTATGCTTTATAACTCCGGTTATTATTCACCACTCACTCACTGGCATTTGTACTTGTTGGCCTTAGTGACCATGTTCCTACACACCCAGGCCAGACAACTCTAAAGTCCTCACAAATGACAATAAGCAGAAAAGAACTCCCATTTGTAATATTTTAAATTCTTTAAGAGTCTCTTAAATAATAGCTGAGAAGTGGTGGCGCACGCCTTTAATCCCAACACGCAGGAGGCAGAGGCGGGAGGATATGCTGGCATCTTCATGTCTTCACCCTTCAACCCCAAGAGCTGGACCCAGCAATCTGCATGGCTTCTGGGGATTTGAACTCAGGTCCCTGCGCTTGGGCAACAAACACTTTACCAATCAAGTAATCTCCCCAGCTTTTCTGTGCTTATTTTCATTACATTTATAGGTTAGGTCATTGGAAACTGACACTTAGTAGGTCTTCAGTAAGTGTTGGGTTATTTGTGCCAACATGATGGCCCTAGAGGATTCATTAGTGCAAAAGGCCCAGAAGGACAAATATTTCATGCTCTAACCCATGCACGGAGGCTGTAAGACTTGACCTTATCTTTTTGAAGTCAAGAGTAGAATAATGGCTATCAGAGGCTGGGAAGAACGGGATGAAGGAAAGACAAAATGAGTCAGATGGGAGGAGCAAGCTGGAGTGTTCTCTGGCATAGGAGAGTGGTTATGATAAATCTGTATATTTCAAATGAGATTGTGTCCAATCAGGGTGGTACGGCCATAGATTAGGTATATATTTCAAAAGAACTATAAAAGGAGATTCTATGAATGTTCTTACCACAAACAGGTAATAAAAATTTTGAGATCAGAGATATGATAATTACCTTGATATAATAATTATCTGCTTTAAATATGTATCAAAATGTCACACTGTAACTCCATAATCATACAATCATATGCCAATTAAGACTTTTATATGTTAAAAAGAGAATTATGGGTTAAATTAATGAAAATATGTTTAGGGGGCTGGAGAGATGGCTCAGAGGTTAAGAGCAGTGTCTGCTCTTCCGAAGGTCCTGAGTTCGAGACCCAGCAACCACATGGTGGCTAACAACCATCTATGAGATCTGGTGACCTGCAGGTGTACATGCAGACAGAACACTGTATACATAATAAATAAAATCTTTTTTTAAAAAAGAATATGTTTAATGTCTTCAAAGATCTTAATGACTGTTGGCCATAATGTAACTAGAAATAAAATCTATGAACCAAAACAAAGTGAAGTAAAAACAAAATAAAACCAAATCTAGCTATTATGAATAAAAGGTATTTTCCTAAAATGCAATTTAAGGAAGATTAAATCTGAGTCTAGTCTATACTCTTTAACAAATTTTGTGAAATATTTAACCCAGCAGAAATGTGTGTGTGTGTGTGTGGTATATGTGTATGTTCATGTGTGTTGGTATGCGTGTATGATTGTGCCTGTGAAAGTCAGAGATTGATGCTGGGTGTCCTCCTCAATTGCTCTCTTATTATATATCTACTTAGGTTTTTTTTTTTTTTTTTTTTTTTTTTTTTTTGAGGCAGGCAGGATCTTCTTGAACTTTTGGTCATCCTGCCCTCACCCGAGTGCCGAGACTATAGACATGCACCACGGTGCACCATTTAATGTGGTGCTGCGGATCAAATCTAAGGCTTCGTAGACGAGTGGTACCCTACATATCCTCCATTACCAGTTTAGTTTCATCCCCAGAATCTACCTTCATTTTTAAGACAGGTCTCCCACTGAACCTGGAGCTCACAGATGCAGCTAGACTGGAGGCAATCCCCAGGAATGTCCTGTCTCCATATCCTCAGCACTGGGATTTACAGGAGCTGCTGCACCTGGTGTTGTTTGTGGGCCCCAGGGATCTGAACTCAGGTCCTCGTGCTTGTGCAGTGAACACTTTACAACCGAGCAGCTCCCCAGCCCCAAGAAGAACTCTTTAAAAGGCAGTTAGAAGGAATAGAGAAAGTTACAGGCACTAGAATAAAAATTCAAGTACCTCATTACTCTACTCACTTTTGTCTATTTTCTCAGATGCCCAGGCTACTGAAAGCCTTTTATTCAAAGTCTAGCTATAGAGCAGGAGAGACGCCTGGTTCAGGGGTGAGAACAGCGATTCATGAGTTAGGTGTGTGTGTCATGGTAGGGCAGTTGCCTAGCATACGTAAAGCCCTGGGCTCCGTCCACCCCCAGCACCACAATCCCCAGAGATCATTTGTCCAATTTTCCCCAGTGGTAATGTTCAGCAGAACTGTAACATATCACAACCAGGGTACTGCTATTTACAACACTTGTCACTTTATCCAGACTTCTCCAGTCTGCTGCCTGAGATGTGTGTGTGTGTGTGTGTGTATGTGTGTGTGTGTGCATCTTTTATATGTTAACTCCTATACAATTTCATTACTTGTGTAGGCTCAGGCATCTATCACCACAGACAAGATAGCTAAACAATCCCCAGATCAAAAGAATCTCTTGTGATGAATAGTCAGATGTAAACAACAGCTCAGACTTTCCCCTGTAGTTTCTAAAAGGAGGAAAAACCCGTGTACTCACCCATCTGGACAAGGCTTCTTTAATTGTTGTTGCTTTTGCCTAAAAAAGAAGAAAAAAAAAAAAAAGGGAAAGGCTGTGGTTTGTTGATTCACTTTTACTGCAGTAACTCCCGGCCTCGGCTTCTACCATAAAGCATTCAATTCTTTCTCTGAAACTCTAAGATACAAGCACGATAACCTCCCGAGAGCCAAATGATTTCTTTAAATACCTCTCAGAGAAAATACAGAAATTACTGTATGATGGCCAAACACTTCACTCCAACTTAGTTTATAAAGTGCTTCCAGTACTTAATATTAAAATAAATTTATTTCACTGAATCTATACCATTTTTTTAACATCTTCTTTGTTTTTTGAGACATGGTTTCTCTGTATAGCCTTGGCTATCCTAGAACTCACTCTGTAGACCAAGATGGCCTCGAACTCACAGAGATCCGCCTGCCTCTGCTTCCTGAGTGCTGGGATTAAAGGTGAGAGCCGCCACCACCACCCAGCCCTTTTTTATATCTTAACATTGAAAAATGAATGTATATTCTAATTAGGAACAATTTACAGTTGCTGTGGCATGATAACTGTGGTAACATTTTAGAAAAGTACTAATTTTATTTAATATATATTCCTTTTTCATGTCTACAAAGGATAACCTGACAAAAAACTATTATGTGTAAATATATGTAAAATGGTAGTCAGTAAAGAGCTCTGTTAAGTACAAGAGGGCTGAAGAGACTGCTCAGTGATCAGAGGACCTGAATTTGGTGCTCAGCATCCATATCCATGCAAAGCAGTTCACAACCATCTCTAACTCCAGCTCCAGGGGATCGGTATCCCTGACCACTTACACATACACACACACACTAAACATAATAAAAATTAAGTGCAATAACATAGGATGTCCTTAAGCAAGTTTTATTTATTAAAATATAAAATATCAATACAGTACAAAATAAAAATTCTAAGTGATAAAAGAGAATCTGGTATAATTTAATTCCAATTTGTTCTTCTTTCATAGTAGAACATAAAAGGTTTCATCTTACAAGAAAATAGCATCTTTGATTCAATTTCATATACTTACAGCTTTGAATGAACACAAAGGAAGATGTCCTTATGAATTACTATTGGGGCTCATTTTTTAAAAGAGAAACAAACCATAAACAAGAGCAAAAAGAAAAAAAAACAGTTACGACTGTATCTAGGAAGTAGAATACTGTACTAATAACTCTTAGGAAAAAAGAAAATGTTGTGGCGCCCCTCCATGGTGAGCCCACTGGAGGGACGGGGAGGACAAAATCTGATAGGAAGAAACTGCTATCTTCATGTGTATAGCCAGAAAAGACAGAATAAGGAAGAAATGAGGTAAGCATTCGACATACTTTAAAGATATCAGTGAAAACTCAAAAGAAGGCAGAAAAAATAAAAAAGAAGTCAAACCCAGAAAAGGTTAATAACACTAAAAGGTGGTTCTTAAATATTTTGCAAGCTTGACTGGGCAAAAATGAAAGATATACAAATAAAAAAAAGAAGTATTAATAACTACATACTACAGAGATTCTAAAATTAAAATATTTAGGAGCAAAATATGGCCATAGTTTTAAGACTTAAACAAGATATGTATTCCTAGAAAAACAGGGCCCCAACTATCAAACCCTCTGAACAGACTCCAATATTTAAAGCATTCAAATGCCAATCAGAGCTTTTAGCCTGTTCTCCTCCCAAAGCTCCAAGACCGCACAGTTTACAGGTGAGTCCTAACATCCTCTTGAGAACAGGTAGTCTTTGTTTACAAGCTGTTTCAAAAACCAGAAAAATGTGGGAAAGCTGCACATCTATGAGGCTATTTTAAACCGGTGTCAGAACCACATCACCAAGCTCTCTTTATTTTTCAATACAGATTTGATTCTGGAGACAACATCAGCTAGTGATGTATAATGACCATGATCAAGAATAGTTTATCCTGCTGGGCGGTGGTGGCACACACCTTTAATCCCAGCACTCATGAGGCAGAGGCAGGTGGATCTCTGTGAGTTCGAGGCCAGCCTGTCTACAGAGTGAGTTCTAGGACAGTTATGTTTCTACACAGAGAAACTGTCTCAGGGGCTGCCCTCCCCTAAAGTTTATCCCAACAATGCAAGGAGCAAAACAGATCAATCTGTTTTGTCAATCATTAACTAATGGATTAAAGCGTGTGGGGGGTCACATTTATCTGAGAAAGTGCAGGAAAACATAAATGTCTACACTGGATACTAAAAGCTCTCAGTTAAGAGTTAAAGGAAAATCCCCACTTGACAAAAGCCAAAACAACAACAACAACAACAAAAAGAAGCTGAAACAAATACTATACTCGGGGGAATTCATTTAGTTTAACAACTGTTCATTGTGTGTCTACTATGTAACAAGCATTCTTCTATGTTGTATTTTTCTTTCTTTTTTTTTGAACACTGAGATGACAGGTATGCACCATCATGCCTGGCTTCCTATTTGTTTTTGGCAAATTATTGGGCAAAACAATTTCTGTCTTTCTAGAACTTACATCTATTAAAACAAGTAGATATATGTATATAAAATATGCACAAATCTGATATATATAACCATAGGTATACTATATGCATGTAAAATAAATAACTATAAAAAGATAAGTAAATATAAGCAAAGTAAATAATGCAACAGAAGGTAAAAGTTCTTTAAAAAACTGGGACACTGAGGTTGTAAATGGTTTCAGGTTATACGCATCTATGAGTAGAGGACATTTATTTTAAATAAGATGGTCCACCTAGACTAACCTGCACAGTAACATTAAAATACTTTTCTCTAGGCTCCCAAACACGTCAAGGATGCCCATTATCACTGCTCTGTCAATGCTGTAATAAAAGAAGTACAAATCGGAATGATCTGAAGAGGAAACTAAACCGTCACCAAGTGCAGGTGGCAGTCTATGTGGAAACCCAAAAGAATGAATCACTGTTAGTACAAATCGGGAGAAGGTGTTTCCACTTGAAACCAATAAAAAGACTATGACAGCATCTACTATATACAAGAAACTACCAAAATTCACAAATAAAAATTTTTAATTAGCAAAACTAAACTCTGAATTAACAAGACATAAATAGCCAAACCCAGGTAACTAATATAACTATGAAAAATTGTATTAATTGAAAATCAGAAAAATTCAAAGTAAAACAAAAGAATATCATATATGCACATTATACCAATCTAAAAATGTATATATAGCATATATATAATATATTATACATATGCATTTTTAGGTTAGCAAAAGTTGCCCAGATTATATAGAAAGAGGAACTGGTATGCAGTGGTGGGGGAAGTGAAACCTGCTCTACTCATTCTGCACGTGGAAATGAAGTACACATAGACTCTTTGACTGCACACTCTTGTTTTTGTTTCCTGGTGAAGTCCTTGCCTGGACCCATACAAAAGGGACACATAAAAGAACACTTTCACAACACTGCTAGAACAGAATGGGAGGCAATCTAGCTACTTATTACAATATAAGTTGCTATAGGATCTATAGGATACTGGTTCCTCTTACAGACAGGAGCCAAAGATTCCTGAGTGGACATTATGAGGGGTGGAGCTGACCAGGTGAGTGGAGCTCAGGTAAAGAATATAATTCCTACTCAGCTCCAGACAATTCTGGCTGGTGGAACTTGCAGAAAAAAATACTACATTTCCCCAAATATTAAAAACTCCACTAATTAAATAATACCCTTATTTCATAAACCATTAAGAAAGAAGAGTTGCCAAACATGGTGACATATGCCCATGATCCTAGCACTCAGGAGGCAGTGGATCAAAAGTTTGAGACCAGCCAAGAATATATGACAAATTCAAGGCAAACCTAAGCTACCCAGAAGACCCTGTCTTCAAAAACAGAGAACAAAAAATGGCATCAATTATCTAAAAGTATATTTCAATAATATTAAATGTGAACAAAAATTATGTCCATAGTGAAACATGGCACTTCTTATTTTCCAGAAAGACCAGAAACCTGAGTTTGTTTTCAATTGTATGTGTGTAACAACGTGAGTAACAGTGCATGGAAGTCAGAGGACAATTTCTGAGAATTGGTTCTCGTCCTCCAGCATGTGGGTCCCAGGATATGGTGGCACATACTTAAAAAGTTCAAGTACTATGTGGGCCTGCATTTCTGAAGGGATCAGGCCTACCGGTATGCAGTCAGTACGAGGGAGTACACGACTTCATGATTTTCACATCCTGGGCTTAATTTCTGTGCATTGATATAGCCCTGGAAACACACACATACCACACACTGATAACTATACTGTTTTGCTATTTTCTTTTCTCGTGCAGTGCTAGAGATCCAACCCGTAGGGTCTAGTTCCACCAGCGAGGTATAGTTCTACTCCACACCCCCCCCCCCAACAATGTATTTATCTCAGACAGAGGATGACCTCCGGCCTCCACCTTCTGAGTGCAGTGATAACAGATACGTGCCACTATGCCTGATACATGCGGCGCTGGAGGTTGATGCTGTAGCTTCATGCATGCTAGGCAAACTCTCTTAACGTAGCTACATCTTCAGACCCCAGTACTCACCCTTTATCAATAGCTCCAGTCGGAAAGCAACCTCGTACTTTGCTAAATAGTTTTGGCTGGGCTGAATCTGAAATCGTTTTCAAACTAATAGTTTGAAATACCAAGCATGTAAGCAAAAGAGCGAGTGTTTTCTATGTTGACAAGCATCTTTAGTTAAAATCGTGGCTTCATGAGAACTTTGCCCAGACCACTGGTAGACTGCAAACCTAAACCAGTAGCGTTTCTCAAAGCGTGGTGAGTGCTCCCCAAAGTCTGAATTACTTGAGGTGTATGGCCGAAACATTCCTGAAAACCCCAGTCATATTAAAAACCAATAATCTGCATTCCATCGAACTCATAACTATTCATATTGGAGGAACATTGGCCTAATATATCCATATATCCATCACCTAGTAACAGGACTCACACCCAAAGCCAACAGAGCAACCGGGCACACCACAGCCTACCAACGCCGCTGCAGCAGGAGCCCTCAGCCCCCCGCCCCTCCATCCCGCCAGGGGGTGAGCAGAGTTAAAATCACGGCTACACGAAGAGATCTCTTTGCCACAGCCCCCATCCCATCACCTTTCCCACTCCAGTGCGCTTTCCCGAGAATTTCCAGCTGTCTTTCCTTTTCTTCTCTCAGAGTCCCTCCAGCTTAACCCAACTTCCTGTCAGCCTCCGGCCTCCCTCTCCGCAGACCACCGCCTGCCCCGGCTGCTCCGGCCCCGGGCCTGCGGCTTCACGGAGCCAGCATTCCCTTTTAACTCCCATCCGTGGTGCCAGCGCCCCGCCACCCTCCACACCCCACAGCTGCCCCTCTTTCCACTCCCAATCTCCTCCCGGGTTTGGCTGCGAGGCCTGGAGGGTACTCACCATTCCGGCGGTTGCTACCGTCACTGCTCTGGTTGCTAGGGCCCGCCGGGGTCAGTGCGCAGGCGCACCTCAGGAGCGCTCAGTCGGCCGCACTGGCAGCGGTCCTTTCTCTCCGCCCTTAGGGTGGCGCGAGCGGGGCATTGTGGGACGGCTGGCGGACCCCCCGGGTCCTCCAATCCCGTTCTGCAGCGCCTATGCTGGTGTAGACCAGAACTCGACTAGTAGGGGAATAGTCGACGTGCTTTCCCAGTGCCAATATGCCTTAAGCTTGAACTTAAAAACCTCCTGATAGCGTTGGCATTTCTGATATAAAAGAATTTTTTTTTAAGTCCTTCCCTGGAAAACCGACGGGAAAGGTTCAGCTGTCTTCGGCAATTTGCTTTGCAGTCTAACTCAGTATACCTAGAGCTACATTCTGAACTTCTCTTTTCCTTACGTTAGATCCTCCGAGGAAAACTCAGGCGCCTGAAATCTCAGCTGCACACTTAAAAGTATTCCAAAATGTTGGTTTTGTGCAACCGGGGTTATCTTTTTTTCTTCACTAAGAAGTCAAAAAATTTAAACATATTTTAATAGAGTTGCTAGGGGCACAGAGAATAGAGTTGCACAAATACACAGCTGCGAACAATTTATGCCACCTTCTGGGAAGGCTGTTAGTGATGTGTATTTAAGAGCTTAAAAACTGTACCAGCCGGGCAGAGGTGGCGCACGCCTTTAATCCCAGCATTCGAGAGGCAGAGGCAGGCAGATGTCTGTGAGTTTGAGGCCAGCCTGGTCTACATACAGAGCTAGTTCCAGGACAGGCTCCAAAGCTACAGAGAAACCCTGTCTCGAAAAAAACCAAACCCAACCAAACCAAACCAAAAAACCTTCTGTACCTTTGTGACCAAGTTAGAAGTTTATCTTCATCCAGATCGGTCAACGAAGTGCATGTGTAAACACCCCAGCACACACATATGTTCCAAGTCTTAAACAGGAAAAGGAAAACCCAAATGTTCACAAAAGAGAATTTGTGAGGTAAGTAGTACTAAACATACAAATGATGGGATAATGGTTCTATTAAAATGGTGTGAAAATACATCTATTCATATGAAAAGAGTAAAAATATTGGAACAGCAAAGGCTCCAGCCTTTTCCTGGAATGAAGGCTTAGCTCACTTAGAAGGGCTGATGGACATGTATAAATACATGGGTAGCCACTGGGAAGTTACAGCTGTTTTTTGTTTGTTTGTTTGTTTGTTTTGCGGTTATACTGGGAGCAGGGTCGCTATCAGGGCCTATTGATTCTGCAGGGGGAGTGGAATGGTCAGGTAGGGGCTAAGCCATTTTTTATGGCCAGGGGCTATTGCCCAGTACAGCTTGATTCAGTCCTCATGGCCAGACAGGTATTGGTATTTTAAGTGAAAATTCAAGTTGCCAGGCAAAATAAATGATAGGATCCTCTTTAAGACCTATATAGTGCACATGAAGGTATGGAAACACGTTTTTAAAAGGGTATTATAAAGATGTAATAGTTGTTATCCAGAGAATTGTGTCGCTTCAAAATTCATATGCTGAAGTCTTAATGTCCATGTCACAGTGTCTAGAAACAGGGATTTTAAGATTGAATGGGATTATAATTACATGTCCTTGTAAGAATAAGAGACACAGCCCAGCGGTGGCGCACACCTTTAATGCCAGCACTTGGGAGGCAGATGCAGGAGGATCTCTGTGAGTTCCAGGATAGCCTAGTCTATGTAGTGAGTTCCAGGACAGCCAGGGCGATGCAGAGAAACCCTGTCTCAGAAAACCAAAATAAAATAAAATACAAAATAAAGAGTAAGAGACACTAGGAGAATCGGCAGCAAAATACAAAAAAAAAAACCATGCAGGAACTCTTGGCTAGTACCTTGATCTTTAGCTCAAGGTTCCAGAGTGTGAGAAAATAAATTCCTGTTCTTGAAGCCACTTAATTTAGGGACGCTTATTATGAGCCACCATGTGGTTGCTGGGAATTGAACTCAGGACCTCTGGAAGAGCAGGCAATGCTCTTAACCTCTGAGCCATCTCTCCAGCCCCCAGGGACGCTTATTATGCCAGCTCAGACTGACTAATACAATGTTACTGCTTGTGTGTGTCTGATTGCTCTGTGGTGTGTTTTTTTAAATTTCAAAATAACAAATTTCAGTGTGAGAAAGATAATGCAATCGCATTTAAAATAAGGAATGATAAAATATCCATTAAATAAAATAAAAACATATCTTTGTAACATATCCAACCTCTGTTTTTCCAAAGACCAATCACATTGCCCATCCTACTAGCTAGACTTCCCCTTTGCCTGTCAAAAATCCCTTACCAACTTTGTTTGCACGAGAATCCAGTCCTCAAACCTACTAGATGGCCAGCAGAATATTCCTCTCTCCCTCTTCTCTCTGTTCTCATAGTCTGGTTCAATATGCAGGTTATATCTAGTCTACTACCTTCTCTCCCTTCTCTGGACTCTTGTAGATGCCTCTGTCTGTACTCTCCCTCATAACTACAATAAAGGCCTTCTCCTCAGCCGGGGGGTGGTGGCACACGCCTTTGACCCCAGCACTTAGGAGGCAGAGTCAGGCAGATCTCTGAGTTCGTAGGCCAGCATGGTCTACAGAGTGAGTTCTGGGACAGCCAGGGCTACACAGAAACCCTGTCTCAAAAAAAGAAAAAGAAAAAAAAAACCCAATCAAACAATAATGAAAAAACAAACCTGTTGAATTAAGAGCGGCGGGGCTCCGTCCCCGGCACCCGGCCGCCCTTCCTCCATCACAAACCTCTCGTCAACGATCTCTTGGAACAGCCACCAGGTCCTCACTTTGTACATCTGTGCTGAACCCTCCACTCCAAACATTTACCGCTGTGCCAACGTCATATTGTCAGATGTGTGCGTGTCTCTGCAAATTAACTCAGCATATCTGACATATTTCATATCAAGAACACTGAGCTAGGTGTGTGGAAAGCCTATGCCTCTAACCCCAGCACTGAGGAGGCAGAGGAAGGAGGAATCTCTGTGAGTCTGAGGCCAGCCTGGTCAACAATAGCAAGTGTCAGATCCTAAGCCCCAGAATGGCAGTCTGGACTCAGCTCAGGCTGGACTCTGACCCAATAAGCATTCCTCATTCCTCAGAAACCTTGTAAAATGGCTTTCTGTTTGCCAGGAAAAGACATTACTTTCTTATCTGGTCCTACAGGTTCCCAACCTCTGGAAAGGGCCTGTTGTTCAGACAAGCCTCCAACAGATCAGAGCCCATGCTGGTTCCCAGGCCGTACCAGCTAGCCTGCCCTCCTCCGCCTCCACGGAACCCCTTATAACAAGCAGGACCCTCCCACCATTTTTTCCTATCTTCTCTGCTCCTGTAGCCCTAGCAACTGCGTCTGCTCCTCTCCCTGTCCTTTCTCTCTGCTTCTCTCTGTCCAAGAGGTAGCCAAGGCAGACTCCCTCAGATGCCTCTGGCTATTCTCTTCCTCTTTTCTACAACACAAAACCTTCCCCTTAATCACGGAAGAACTGTGCCAGTGGTTTCGTTACTGCTCATACAGTGAGCTCCAGGAAAGCCAAGAGTACACAGAGAGGCCCTGTCTCAAAAACGAAAAAAAAAAAAAAACAAACTATAAAAAATGCTTCGGGTTTCAGATTTTCTGAGGCTAAACACATCCCCCTAAGAAACAAATGAATTATACAATAGAGCTTTTCTTTCCCTTTTCCTTTTTCTTCTTTCTTGTCTTTTTTTTATCCATCAAAATCACTAACTAGACCCTAAAAGTTGTTCATCAGAAAATGTGGCTTGTGTTGGTTTGTAATTATTCAGTGGGTAAAAGGAATTTGAGAGAAAAATTTTAAAATATTACTGAAATAGTTTCCCGAAGTTCAGAAAATCTGGCCTCTGGTGAGCATGGCTAAAATGTCAAATGATGGAACCCACACAGCAGAAAGCGAGAACAAACTCTCAGGTGGAACTGTAGCTTGCTTGGCTACCTCGCAGCTCACGCCTTCATAGACAGCTCAGCGACCGCGACTGATCGCACAATTATCCACTAAGATAATTTGTTGTCTCGGGGTTGCTTTTAAAGCTGAGTTTGTCTCATGAAAGCTGAGGCTCTGTTTTCCAAGTTTGAGGGGCTGCACAAAGAGCAGCGAGGCTTGGATGAGGATGACCGTGTTTATGTTTTACCTAACGCGGGACAGCATGCGAGATTCCAGATCTCATACCCAGCCTGCTGTTCAGAGAGAAGAGGTGGGGGAAGGGAAGCAGTGATTTCTGACAGAAAATATTTGCAGGCCACAGGCTCTAAAATCTCTCTCTGGCCACCAGGGGACACTGTTCCCTAAACGTGCTCAGTGGAGGCACCCAGGCACTAGGACAAGTTATGTCCAAGAAAGACCATCACAGTTCACATCGAAACAGTTCAATGAGACACGGAACTGAGCGGTCAGGCAGCAGGGTGACGTAACAGAAACGTACAGAGGAAGTCCTCTGGCTTGAAAGCCATGAAGTTTCAAAACTGGTCTAGCTGAGGAAGGCACAAACTCTGGTGGGCTGTTTCAGTTGATAGGGTGGTTTTTAAAGTTTGATTACCTTCATTTGCTTAGGGGTGTGGGTATGTGGGTGCTGTGTGCGGACGTCAGAGGAGAGCCTGTTCACTCCTTCCACCGTGTGAGTCCTGGGGGTCAAACCCCGGTCATCAGCTTTGGCAGCAAGTGTTACTCACTGAGACATCTGCATGGCTCAACTTTGGCTATTCTGAAAAAATACACTCTGTCTTCTTGTCGCCAGGCACAGGTATTAGTACATTGTTTTGTATATGTAAGAAGACCCAAACACTTATGGTATATGACTTTAGTAGATTTTGTTTTTGAGAAGGCATTGAACCCTCAGAATAAAACCACATGTCCTATTCTTATATGTGTATAAAAATGGCTCTAGAAGGGGTTTTTATCAAGTTAGCAACAGTATCATTGTCAGTTGAGAAAGTTACAGACCACCATGCACTTCAGGCCAAATAATAGTCCTTTGTTTTAGCTAGTGACTGGGAGTAGGCAATTGCCACAAAGAACTATTGAGCTCAAAGCTCAGGGGCACAGCTTTTTTTTTTTTTTTTTTTTTTTTGGTTTCTCGAGACAGGGTTTCTCCGTGGTTTAGGAGCCTGTCCTGGAACTAGCTCTTGTAGACCAGGCTGGCCTCGAACTCACAGAGATCCGCCTGCCTCTGCCTCCCAAGTGCTGGGATTAAAGGCGTGTGCCACCACCGCCAGGCTAGGGGCACAGCTTTTATGGAGGCAAAAAACAAAACAATGACAACAAAAGACAAAACCCAGAAGAACCGTCACATCATTGTCAGGAGTAGGTCGGGGGAACATGGTAATGTTTGCTGAAGCTATACATTCAGAAGTCATTTTGGTTCTATATCTTGGACATGGTAAGGGTCACGGAAAGTCCCGGATGTATTGCCAAAGTGGACGTGACTGCTCAGAGTGATCAGGGGCTGAAAAGCACTTAAGTGGGTACAAAGAGAAGTTAGGGCAAGACTGTCACTTCACAGTATGCCGCCTTGGAAGAGAGCTGTGATTGGGAAACGAGCTGAGAGAAATGCTACTTTTTCTGCACTTCTTGAAACTCATACAGTGAGGAATGTGCCTATTATATACATAATCTGTGTTTCCTGCTAAGTTTTGAGTAAAATGTGGCCCCACATTGTGTACAGACACACACGCACACATACGTGCGCGCGCGCAGGCAAAAACACTCATACATATTGTTAAGTTTAATTCCTGGTTAATGGGAATCTCCCGCTGCTGAAGTCAGAGTATGGACAGAAGCAACTCCAGGGGAGTAGGCTTGGGTTGGAGTCCCAACTTGAATATCCCAGACTCTTTGGGTATATGAATGCCAGGGGCTGGAGTGACGCTTCTACCCCAAACACATAGAAAATAAATCTAAAAAAAATTTAAATAAAATGAGCATATAAAATAGCCTAACTTAAGAAATGATACTTTAGAAGATATAAGAAGTCTGCCTTTTGGGGGCTGGAGAGATGGCTCAACTGACTCCTCTTCCAGAGGTCCTGAGTTCAATTCCCAGAAACCACACGGGGGCTCACAAGCATCCAAAATGAGATCTGGTGCCTTCTTCCGGTCTTCAGGCATACATGCAGAATACTCATACATGCAGAATATTGTATACATAATACATAAGAAAAAAAGAAGTCTGCATTTTCAGTTGTCTAGAACGTATAGCGACTTAGACCAAAGCAAGTGCTCTACCACTGAGCTACATCTGCAGCCACTTTCCTTTATTCTGACATTTTGAGCCTAGGTTTCAATTAAGTACCCAGGTTGGACTTCAACTAGCTCTGTAACCCAGGAAGACTGTGGACTTGAAGTCTTGCCTCAGCCTTCCAAGAGGCTGGGATTAAAGGACCACCAAGTGCAGCTGCACAGATCTTTTTAAATAGCCGGTGGTTAACCCAGACATGTATTTACTTTTGGGATTGTCCATTAGCCTTTTTCAAAAGCCAGCCAGATGTGCATTCAAGAATATTGCGTTTATCAAGGAAAAGATGACAATAGGTTGGATTTGATTATTATTTGGTTTTATTATTTAAAAATTTATTTTAAAGTGTCTAAAAACAAGAATTTGTACATATTTGGGAGTACCATGCTGTGATAATGTGGATGGGACAAGGTCCCCCATAGAGTCACATATTTGAATACTTGGTCACCAGTTGCTGTTTTGGGGGATGTTGTGGAACTTACAGGATATGAAGGCGTGATGGAGTAAGAATGTCACTGGGGACGGGCTTTGAGAGTCTGTAGCCTCCCCACTCCCAGCACCCTCCTTTTCTGTCTCTGTCTTTGTGTGCGCGTGTGTGCACGTGCAGGTTTCTTCCACGCGGATAGAAAGGTGATTAGCTAGCTTCCTGCTCCAGCCCCTGCTCTCGTGCCCTCCCTGCCCTGTGGGACTGGAAGCCATAAGTTTCTTTTGGCCACTGTATTTTGTCATGGCAACAGAAAGGGACTGATGTGTGAAGCTTTGATACATAAATACATCGTACAATGTTTAAGCCAGGTTAACCATATCTCCACAAATATTTATCATGCCCATGGCAAAAAAATATATTCAAAATCTTTTCTTCTAACTTTTGAAAAGACACAGCACGTTATCACTGTTCCTAGCACCCTGCCGTGAAGGACGCACACCTCTTCCTGCCCTCTTCTCTCCTCTCTCCAGAGTCTGTTAACCATAGTCTCGACTTCTTACACTCCGACTTGTTTGCTGTTTTCCTTTTGAAAAGTCTCACTGAACTCATTTCAGATTTACCACCTCTGCTGCATGCCACTAAGTGTTAGGGAAAATTATTAGCGTTTTTCTTTCTTTTTTTTTTTAAATCATTTTTAAAATGTTTGAATCTAAGCTCTCCAACTTGGCTTACGGAGTCTTCATTCTGTGGCTGTCGGTTGGCTTGAACTTCATACAATGTAATTCAGTTTTAGTAGAAGGTTAAAATCTCAGGACAAATAGAGTCAAACAATCAATGAAATCCATGGGATATGGGGTAGATTAATTTAGTTCTTTCACCAACCAGATTTTGTAAAAAAAAAAAAATTGTGTGTGTGCGTGTGTGTGATGTATGTGTGTTTATAGAGGTCGAAAGACAGTTTTGTAGAACCATTTCTCTCCTGTCCCCTTTCCATGGGGTCTGGTGATTGAACTCAGGTCAACAGGTTTCCTTACAGAGCAGCAAACACCTTTACCTTCAGACGAGCTTCTCAACACTTTTTGCTTCCAATAGCTTCATCAGAAAAAAAAAAAGCAGGTCAACTGTTTAAGTGGGGATTGTCTGGTTTAATCATAACATCTCAATGCAGTATTTGTTATTTTCCCACTATACAGATAAAGAAATGGAGGGTTAGAGAGATTAGCAGCTTATTCAAGAGCAACTGCATAGTGACCGGCAGAGCCTGAGGTGGAGATCTACTATGGAGGCATCTTTGAAGAGATGACTTTTATATCACTTGATGCTTTTAATATGACTAAGAATTTGGGAGAACGGATTTCTAAGTTTTGCACTTATTTTACAGATGTTGGAATCTTGTCTACCTGTTCAGGTTAGACATCCCTAGTGTCTCTCCAGCAGCAGGCCTGCCTAGGGATGAGTTGAAGCAGAAACTCCCAGAGTTCACATCACAGGAAGCTAGAATACAAAGTGGATGATTACTCAAGGTTTTACAGTTGACTCTCACTGTTACCTCTGAGGAAACTTTTTTTTATTAGTTAGAATTGGCTTGGTGAGAGGTTTTGTGTATACCCAGAAAACCATGATAGAGTAAGTGTATGGTTATAGTATCAGCACTGAAGAGATGGAAGCAGGAGGATCGGAAGTTCGAGGTCATCCTTGTCTACACAAGGATGTGAATGAGACTACAAAAAAAAAAAAAGCCTCCTTAGTACTCTGGAAGTCCAAAGGAATTCGCATGATTAGAGCTTTCACACGTGGCTTTTGGTTTAAAGCTGTAATGTTATATTTTGCTGCGCTTCTCAGGTATTTCACGATTGAGATATTTTTGGAAGAAAGTCTGGATTTGCTGCCATGCATCCACCTGTGCCCTTGAGTGAGCCCTTGCCTCACCTCCATGGAACAGTGCTTTACCCAACACTGCGTGCACAGAAGCTCTGGAAGGAGGGAAGTAAGGTGGGTCGATGCAGTGGCAAGTTTCTGGATAGTAGATTATCTGGGGCTGGCCTTTTCCATGGGCTTGTAGCCGTCCACAGGCTATATGAGCATAGGATTCACTCTTCCAGTTATGATCATCCAAGCCCACAATGAACAGGAAGGGTCCCTGGGCCCTTTCCAGTGGAATAAGACTTTGGTGGTGAGGTTCCTCCAGGGGATTGTTCCAAATATCCCCCAAATCCAAAAGGCCTGACTCCATGGTCTTTTGTTTTGTTATGTCACAGCCGAGATCAGGAACAGACAGACCTTTGTAATACAGAGGAGCTATTGTGTTGGCCACACAGGCGTTGATAAGGATGGTGGCCGTGATGTTCCTTAGGAAAGTGGCCATCGAGAGGCACAGGTCACCACCTTTGGAGAAACCAAGAAGGCCGATATTCGGGCCTTTCACCTGAGGAGAGAGAACAAGTGTACCACGAGTGGAAAGTGTGCAGTGAGTTTATAATCCCCGAGTACCTGTCTCGGCTATAACTTCTTTGTCCTCCTTATTCAATACTCTACAAAATTGAAACGTGCCCGTTATAAACAAATGAATTGATTTCTGAGTATATGCACCATCTGATGTTTATAAAGGCCCTTATCAACTAAACTAATGAACAAACTGTTACATATTTTCTCTATCTTGATGAATAGACCACAACTCGTTCTCTCTCCTCATCAGGTGAAAGGCCCGAATGTCGGCCTTCTTGGTTTCTCCAAAGGCGGTGACCCGTGCCTCTCGATGGTTGCTTTCCTAAGGAACAGCACGGCCACTGTCCTTATCAACGCCTGTGTGGCCAACACAGGTATTACTTAGGATGCTCTAATTTTGTAATGCACCCTCTGTTTTACAAAGATCTCGTTGTTCCTGATCTCATCTGTATGTGTATATCCATGTATGTATGGATGACCAAGCTAAATTTAAACTCTTAGAACTTGCTGGGCAGTGATGGTGCATGCCTTTAATCCCAGCACTTGGGAGGCAGAGGCAGGTGGATAACTGAAGTTTGAGGCCAGCCTGGTCTACAGAGAGAGTTCCAGGATAGCCAGGGCTATACAGAGAAACCCTGTATCAAAACAAAACAATCTCACTCATAGTTCTATATTGATGTAACAAGAAGAGTCAGCCATGGACCCCAGATCCTGAATCCCAGCCCACCTTCCTTCTCTTCCCATCACTGCTTCTTCCGTGCACCTTAAAGGGCCTCCATCATGTGTGGACACACAGCTGACATGTTTAAAGTTAGGTGCATGTGTTCTGGTCAACAAAGGGAAGAGGCAACGGCTTAGACACATGGTCAGAGATGCCAGCCAGAGGATGTGGAAGTTCCGCACCACCAGAGTGTGGTTAAGAGCATATGAGTTCCAAGCAGACAAGTTTCCTTGGCTCTTCAGACTCCTCACCCCATGGGAAAGAGTCCAGCCAAAGGAAGGCCATTGTGTGGTAATGTAAAACAAAGGTCCTAGGCCAGGAACCACTCTTGATCTCTTATTTTTCTAGGGCCTTATCTCCCCTTAATAAAACCATCACAATCCCAGATCATCTGGCTGGCCCAGAACTCACAGAGGTCCTCCTGCCTCTGCTTCCCAAAGGCTGGAGTTAAAGGTGCAGACTACTCTGCCCAGCTCATTTAGGTTTTTAATAGCTCTGCCTAGAGTTGTCCCTGAACTTCAGCAAAATGAGAGTACCTGAAGTCTTTACAAAACATCTTAACCCTTAACATTAGAATGTTCCTTACTCTCAGTTTAGATGGCAGCAAAGGTTTGTTTCATTCCATTTATGTTCACAGAAAATATTTAAAATAAATGTTCTGCTATCGGATACTTTATAAAAGCATAATAATTGTCTTAGTCAGGCAGGGTTATCATTCCATGACCAAAAGCAACTTGCGGAGGAAAAGGTTTATTTGGCTTACATTCCCACATCACAATCCATCATAGAGGAAGTCAGGACAGGAACCCAAACAGGACAGGAACCTGGAGACAGGAGCTGATGCAGAGGCCATGGAGGAGTTGTGCTCACGGCTTGCTCAGCCTGCTTTCTTTCTTTCTTTTTTTTTCTAAATATTTATTTATTTATTATGTATACAATATTCTGTCTGTGTGTATGCCTGCAGGCCAGAAGAGGGCACCAGACCCCATTACAGATGGTTGTGAGCCACCATGTGGTTGCTAGGAGTTGAACTCAGGACCTTTGGAAGAGCAGGCAGTGCTCTTAACCTCTGAGCCATATCTCCAGCCCCAGACTGCTTTCTTATAGAATCCAAGACCATCCGTCCAGAGATGGAACCACCAGAAGTGGCTGGGCCCTCCCCCATCAATCACTAATTAAGAAAATGTCCAACAGGTTTACCTACAGCCCAATCTTAGGGAGGCATTTTCTCAGTTGAGGTTCCCTCCTTTCTGATGACTCTAGCTTGTGTCAAGTTGACATAAAACTAGCTTGTACAATAATATTCATCACATAGCATGTATACAGTGTTCTGCCTGTATGTATGCCTACCTGCCTGCTATATAGAAGAGGGCACCAGATCCCATTACAGATGGTTGTGAGCCACCATGTGGTTGCTGGGAATTGAACTCAGGACCTTTGGAAGAGCAGGCAGTGCTCTTAACCACTGAGCCATCTATCTAGCCCATGGCTAGCGGTTTCTTAGTGCAGTGCTTTAGAGTTATGGTAGTTAGGAAAGAAACTAAACAGTAAATATTCAGAGATAGGAAAGATGGGTAGACACAGGAATAGTCTTAGCCACTGCTGAGGAACTGCTTGGCTCTCCCTTCCCCTCTCTAACACCCAGCGACCTGACAAGGCTTTTGGCTCTGGCCTTGAGTCCCCTCCCCTCCTTTGTATTAAGGACAGCACTGGGCCTCACCTTTGGATGCTGAAGCAGAAAGGCCACGGCTTCTTCAAAGTATTCCAGGTGCACATCACTCAAATTTTCAGGGAGGTCTTCAAATCTGAAGTAAGCCAGAGCAAGTACAGCAAAACCGTGCCCAGCCAGGAGGCTGGCTCGGTATTCACACAGCCCACCGCTACTTCCAAACAAATCGATGATCCCAGGGAACCTCCCCTTGCCTGCGGAGCACAACATAGCACATCACAACCACTTAGCTGCTCAAAAGAGATTTGGGGATTCAGATTTTGGCAATTAACAAGAAAAAAATCTTTGAAGTCAGGGATGCAGTGGCTGGGAATATCTGAGAATCAGGACCCCTCCTACTTTATTTATTTGGAGACATGATCTTACTACATTGTATACAGTGGCCTTGACCCTCCTGCCTCTGCCTCTCAACAGTGGAGTTACAGATGTGTGGCACCACATCTGGCTCTTTTTTTTTTTTTTCCACAGGGTCTCATTATGTAGCTCTGGCTAGCTTGTAAGTCACTATATAAACCAGACTGGCCTCAAACTCACAGAGATTTGCCTGCCTCTGCCTCCTGGGATTAAAGGTGTACACCACTGTGTCTGGCTGGCTGTTTTTAATAATCTACAGAGAAAAGTGGAACAAAATGCCCCCCCCAGAATTTGCCATAAATAATAACAAATAAAGTTTAAAAATAGCACATGTCTTCCAACCACTTTTTTCAGTTTCCTCGGAGAGTATCTGCGAATGCTCTATATGTTCACCCGGGGCTACTAGAGGGTCTTCCCCTCTCCTTGTCATCTTTTCTACCTTTAAAGAAGGGCACCCTGCACCTGCCAAGTTGTTTTGACCCCTGAATATTTATATCTACTGTTTCTTTTGCTGGTTGTGCTGTTTTTCTCTCTCTCTCCTGACTTTGACCTGCTCAACTTCTCAGTTTGCCGACTTCACTTTAGGTTCAACCCCTTCCAGTCTTTCCAATGTGTACCCAAGGCTGAGTTGGATTAGACTGTCTCAGATGTGTTCTCCCTGGTGCCCTAGCCTGCATGTCCTTCTCAGAGTACCTGCCACACTGTATTCTCTGGATAAGAGTAATTTCTATCATGCTATAAAGTATGCCCCAAATTCTGGTAGATCCTGTCTTAGTTTCTTTTTCATTGCTGTGATAAAATCACCACGACCAAGGCAACTAATAAAAGAAAGGATCTAATCTGATGCTCACAATTACAGAGAGTTGGAATATATGATAATCACGGGAGGGGCTGATATGGGAGCGTGGCAGCAGGCAGTACTGGAGCAGTAGCTGACAGCTCTTTTCTTGATTCACAAGCACAATGTGGAGAGAACGGAGAATATTGCTGCCTTTTGCAGCCTCAAAAGCCATCGCAGTGGCACATCTCCCTCAACAAGGTCACACCTCTTTTTTTTTAATATTTATTTATTATATATACAATATTCTATCTGTGTGTATGTCTGCAGGCCAGAAGAGGGCACCAGACCTCATTACAGATGGTTGTGAGCCACCATGTGGTTGCTGGGAATTGAACTAAGGACCTTAGGAAGAGCAGGCAATGCTCTTAACACTGAGCCATCTCTCCAGCCCAAGGCCACACCTCTTAATCCTTTCCCAACAGCTCTATCAAGTGGGGACAAGGTATTCAAATATATAAGCCCATGGAGGCCATGCTCATTCAAACCAGCTCAGGTCACACAGTAGACAATGAAATTCTCTGAAATTTTCTGTTTGTTTTTCTTTTCTCGTTCTCTTTTTTTCTTCATTTCCCTCTTGTTCTTTAAGTCTCATGCAGTGCATGCTAGCCTCAAACTTGCTTGGTAACCCAGGATCTTTTTTTTTTAATATTTAATTTATTTATTTATTATGTATACAATATTCTGTCTACATGTATGCCTACAGGCCAGAAGAGGGCACTAGACCTCATTACAGATGGTTGGGAATTGAACTCAGGACCTTTGGAAGAGGAGGCAATGCTCTTAACCGCTGAGCCATCTCTCCAGCCTGGTAACCCAGGATCTTGAGCTCCTGATCCTCCTGCCCCTGCCTCCGGGGTGCTGGAATTTCAAATGTATGCCACCACACTATTTAAATAATTTACTTGGAAATCATGTCGTTTACTTGTTCTTACTGAAAGACTTTATAACACTGTGGTGGTTTGAATAGGATGGGCCCCAGAGATCCATATACTTGACTGCTTTGTCATCAGTGGGTAGCACTATTTGAGAAGGATTAGGAGGCGTGGCCTTATTGGGGGAAGCACGTAACTGGGAGTGGGCTTTGAGGTCTCCAAAGCCCACACGAGGCCCAGTGTTGCCCTCTCTGCCTATGGACCAGGATGTAGCTCTCAACTACTGCTCCAGCTCCTGCCTACACGCTGCCATGCTCCTCATCATGATGGTGGACTAAACCCTGGAAAAGGTAAGCAAGACTCCAATTCAATGCTTTCTTTCAGAAGAATTGCTTTGGTCACGGTGTCTCTTCACAGCAGCAGGACAGTGGCTAGGGTAAATACTCTTAATGGAAGACTGAATCAGTCAGGGTGATTTACAGAGCTCCTTCTAAAGTCATGTGGAAGTCTCCAGAAACGGAGACAGAGAAATGGAATAGGACTCCGTTTCGGTTGCAGAGTTCCCGCTGTACCAAGCAGCCTCTAGTTCAGGTTAGAAAGGGCTGTAAGAAAGAGGCACATTCTCTTCCTTTGTACAACAACCACCACATTCAGTTTCAAAATTCTGTGTACCGCCGTGACTCTAGCCCTTTTCTGTGATGGGAGGGGTATGCCAGTGACTGTCTTTCCACGCTTTACATGGACTGCACCCTATTCTCTCAGATCAGGGTTTGCCAGTATCAGAACAGTATCCATGGCTTAGTTAGGCTTTCCATGCTGTGAAGAGACACCATGACCACAGCAGCTCTTATAAAGGAAAACACTTAACGGGGCTGGCTTACAGTTCAAATTAGCCCATTATTGTCACGGTGGGAAGCATGTGGCATGCAGGTAGACATGGTGCTGGAGAAGGAGCCAACAGTTCTACATCTGGACCCACAGTCATCAGAAAGAGACACTGAGTCACAAGGCCTGGCTTAAGCTTCTGAGAGCTTGAGGCCACTCCCTAGTGACACACTTCCTCTAACAAAGCCACACCTACTCCAATAAGACCACACCTCTTATTTATGGCAGCCATTTTATTCCAATCACTGCAATCCACTTGTGTATGTATGTGATGTGCATGTGAGTATTTGAGCGTGTGTGCGAATGTGAGTGTGTCCTGATGTGTGTGTTGTAGGGCCTAGCTATGACAAGCTCATCAGAGACTACTCAGGTACCACCCAGGAACAGACTATACAAAAGAAATACCTAATGTTCCAATTGTTGCAGATAGGATCACCAGATGAACCTTAGCCCAGCACACACCCATCTCCTTTTCACCAGGGCACCCCTAGGCAAATGTGTGTGTGTGTGTGTATGTGTGTGTTTGTATGTGTGTGTGTGTAGAGGTCAAAGATCAATATTGGGTATCTTCCTCAATAGTTCTTTTGTTGTTGTTGTTTTGAAACAGGATTTCTCTGTGTAAAAGCTCTAGCTGTCCTGGAACTAGTTGTGTAGAACAGGCTGGCCTTGAACTCACAGAGATCCCCCTGCCCCTGCCTCCCAAGTGCTGGGATTAAAGGCATGCGCCACTACTGCCCAGCTTCAATGGTTCTTCACCTTACTTTTGGAGACTAGTTCTAAACCTGGAGCTCACCGGCAGGCCGGAATGGTATGCTAACAAGCCCCAGGAATTCTGTCTGTTCTTCCAGGCTGCGGTTATAGGCATCGAATATGGGGCCCAGCTTTTAACATGGGTCCTGAGGGGCTGAGGACCTGAACTCGAGTCTTCATGGTTGCCAAACAAGCACTTTGCCAACTAAGCGATCTCCCTAGCCCACTGTATCCATTTGGAACAAGATGGTTTGTTCTGAGGCTTTCAGTATTTGGACCCTACCAGCTAGATGGACAACAGCGTTTCCTGCCTTCATTTTTGACAAACAAAAATCTCTGCAGATATTGCTAAATGTATTCATGGACGGGCAAAAGTCACCCTAGGCTGAGAAGCATCTTCAGCTTGTTTACAGTTGGGGGAGGACCGCCAGGGACATTCATATGCGTTTTAATGATTAGGGTACATAGTCTTCATTTGTGGGTGTAAGGATCTTTGAAAGTTCGATGTGAAAGGAGACCAAAGTCACTATTACTACAGGCATAAGTTATTGATTACATCGGTACTTGAAATGCACCCACATGGCAGCATTTAGTGGATTTCAATACTCTAAAGTTGAATGCCCTCTTCAGCATAAAAATGAGGTATTCGCGGTGCCTTAAGGGATGAGACTTGCTACAAAATTTTCCATTTAAAACGACTGGCAGGCTTTGGAATGCGGAAGTACCACAATTATGTGACTGTTCCTCCAGGTTTACTCAGGAACAGAGACCAGTCTAGGCTGAGAGCACGGACCTGGGGGCTGCTCACCTGGAGGCAGGAAAAGCGTGGCGCGCACACGGCCCTCGCGCACGGGCACGCGCCGCACCCCGGGAGCCATGAAGTGACGCTCGTGCACCGCCCGCGCCAGCAGCCGCCCGCCATCGGGCTCGTGGCCGTCCAGCACCTCCAGCTCCACCACGAAGGGCGTCTGCACGTCGCGCTTGATCAGACGCCAGAGCGGCCGATCGGGCTCCATGGCCCAGAGCAGCCCCATGGGCTCGAGCCCCGCGAAGCTGCCGCCCAGCGCGGGCGCGCGCGCCAGGTCCAGCTCGCCGTGGGGGTCGGCGCGGTAGCGCGCGTGGGAGCGGAAGAGCGCGCCTTTCTCGTCGCGCAGGGCGGCGCGCAGCGTGACGGGCTGTTCGGGGGCCAGGCCTCTCACTGTGATGCTCAGCGGCTCGTCCCAGCAGCTGCGGCCCGCGGGCTCCAGGCTCAGCGTTGCCATTATGCCAGGACTGGAGCTGGAACCAGAGGCCTTGGGGAGCTCCACGCGAGTCCGGAGCGGAGCCTGGCCTGCTGTGGAGCCGTCCTGGTCGGTCTCTGGGAGATCCCGAGCCTTCGGTCGCGCTTCACAGGGAAAATAGAGACAGAAAACGGGCTGGTGTCTGCAGACTGACAGGGGAGGTCAGAGTAGCAGTGGGGTCAAGTCAGGCCACGAGATTCTGCTCACGTGGA